AATTTAGATGTTTTAACCCGAAAAACCCTAACCCTAAACATATCAGTGTCTCTTTGACAGAGACGGTAATCACATGGGCTGCTTTTGTTTGATGGTAAGATTGTTGTATGGTTTGTATTTAGAATTCAAGCTTAATTAGACTCTTATTTTGAAGGATTAAAGGGCGTTCTATACTCTTCTATGGAAGAGATGTCACCTGTTATCAGTAAAAAAAATTATTGTTGTTCGTAACTTTTCGCTGGAACCTATGCACTGCCTGGCCAAAATAAAAAGTCACCACCAACAGGTAGGAGCCTCCTATTGGATAATTACTGCAGGGCGATGATCTTTCAGCTGCAACAAGTTATTTAACACAACTGGTGCAACGAGCTGCTTCTCAGTTCCTAAACAACCATGTGGAAAGACGCACCTGGTGGTGGTGGAAAAGATGTTAGTCTGTGTGAGAAGGGTCAGGTCACTGGCATCAAGCAGAGAAAACATCTAAGGAGATGCAGAAACGACTAAAACTGGGTTCAGAACTGTCCAACTCATTATTAACTCATTCGACTAAAGTCGTCATTTGCATGTTTTTACTGTGTGTGCATCGGAACGAGCCCCTGCACCGTGAGAACAAACATCTCCGCTCTAAAGCTGATCTTCATCCGCGTACGTCACACGTCACGTGATCAGGAAGCAGAACATCCGTGTGTTAGGAGATCATTTTGGGCCGCAGCTGTAAAAAAAAAAGTGAGGCGCGAACCGGAACAGCTTCTGCCGATCACAATTCAACAACGGGTTATGAAAGAACGGATAGCGCTCGAAACGCGCCGATTCTTCTTGATGTAAGAGGTGAGTCTCCACTTTGTTTTGGTTGTTTTGGCGTCGACATCATCCTAGCGCGCAACGTTCTGTGACTCTTAAAAAACAGTAAAAATGGTGAGAAACGCTGGCAGCGAATGAGTTCAAACTGGTCTGATGAGTCCAGATGGATCCTGTCTCAGCGTGAAGGTGCATCAGGGTAAGAAGAGAGGCAGATGAAGTGATGCACCCATCATGTCTAGTGCCTACTGTACAAGCCTGTGGGGGCAGTGCTATGATCTGGGCTTGCTGCAGGTGGTCAGGTCTAGGTTCAGCAACAGGAAGTGCTCCACGGATGAGGTCAGCTGACTACCTGAATATCCTGAATGACCAGGTTGTTCCATCTTCCCTGACGGCACGGCCACATTCCAAGATGACAAAGCCAGGATTCATCGGGCTCAGATAGTGAAAGAGTGTTTCAGGGAGCATGAGACATCATGTTCACACCACAGAGTCCAGACCTTAACCCCATCTCTGGGATGTGCTGCAGAAGGCTTTATGGAGCGGTCAGACTCACCATCATCAATGCTACATCTTGGTGAGACATTAACGCAACACTGGATGGAGATAAATCTGGTGAAGCTTATGGAAACAAAGCCGCAGCGAGTGTGTGTCGTAATCAAAGCTGAGGAGGTCCAACCAGATATTAGTGTGTGAGATTTTTTGCCGGGTATGATTTGTGTTTCAGTGCATCTTTGTTTTATTTAATAGTTTTTGTCAAATGTTGCACTAAAGTGCCGTAGTCGAATTTGTTTTTTTAAGTCAAACATTTTGTTGTGTTTTGGTTTCTTTAAACAAAACTTTCTCATGTTTCTCATTTTAAATAAAAACAAGGTTTATTTTAGCGGACTTAAGAAATAAGTCCCAATAATTATATTCAATAATCACAATAAGCATTTAAGGGCTGAACAATCATCAGACTAAGAGAATAAACGTTCCGATATAGAATGTGAGTGGGGCGTTCCCGGCGCCGGGGCGTTTCTCCCTCCACGCAGTGATGCAGCGATCTGCAGGAACATTTTTCAGTTGGGATGCTCTCCATAGATGAGCATAATTTAATTTTGGGGCTTGAGTTTTGGCTGCTGTTCAGTGTCTTGAATGAAAAATCTCATTTATTCCTTTATGAGCTGCAGAAGAGAAGATGAACAGCTCGCCTGCCTCTGGTCAAAATAAGACACGTTAAGGTCCTTCACACAAATCTAAATGAAATGTTCCAAGTTTTGTTGTCAATACACTGATTTATGGGTTTTATCTGTCCGAACAGATTATGTTACTGAGATCTCATCATTTTGATTGAACCCACTAATTAAAAGTTATAACAGAATGATTCTGCTCCGGTGCAGATTTACTAATTAGAGTAAAAGCTTTGAAAAAGAAAATGCGTTTTCAGACTATCTGGTCTGCAGAGTAAAGGTTTGAATGAAGCTGGTTGGAAGATGATGGTCGGCACCTGTGGCCAGGTGATCATCTCTGACACAGATCTGTGATATGCCTAACGCCAGCAGAAACCGTGTTCTTCTTCCATGTTGCATTAATGCAGCGGAACAGCCATGCAGAGTCCCATTCTCCCTCTCCCTCTGCAGCCACCAGCAAAAATGATTTCAGGCTTAAATTAAACTTCAGGTCCTTACATATGTTGTCCGTTATTAAGACCAAACTGCATTTAAAACCGGAGGAACAGGAAATGATTAAGATCAGCGAGTGTATTCGGCTCTTCTGAGAGAGACAGGTGGGCAGAGAAGCTGGCCTTCACCTGTTCACCCGGGCTGTCAGCAAGCATCTGCTCTGGTGTCACGTCACCAACATCACAGGACTGTTTTATTTATCCTAAAATGCCAATTGTTCCTTTTTTGTGTTTATTCAGCTTTCCAGAAACTTTTTTTTGTTGTATGTATTTAAAAATCTTTCAGGTGTATTTAAAGAGCAAGCCTAGCAGATCGAGAGGGCGGGGCCACTAACAAATACACACAGACAAACACACACACACACAGGCTCATAAAGACATTAGCTGTGTCTCAATTCAGGGTCTGCGTCCTTCGAAGGACCCAGCCTACTCGGCCGGCGTGGGCTGGGTCCTCCGTCGGCTGAGTAGACCGGATGTTAACGGCTGTGAATTTGGACAGGCCTAGCCTTCATGAACTCCCGCCAGTCCTTCAGCGAACGTTCCATCGCCTAGCAACCGTGGAACCGCTGAGCAGAAGGAACTTTAAACGATGGAGCTCGAAGTTTTATTTAGCTTTTTAAACATTTCCTTGACTGTTGGAGAGCTAATTCAGAGAAAATACTTTCGACAAGCTGAGCAAAGACGTGATAATATTTTTTAATCCTTTCTAAGGGTCTTCATTTGACCAAAACCAATTTATCACCTTTTAAGACTTTTCAAGACCCAGCGGATACCCGAGACTGCAATAAAAGCACTTTTACTGTAACATTTCTAACTAAAATAACGTTCATGTATCACAAAAAGCCCTTAACCTAACGGTTTTCAAGTTTATACTGACATTTATATGCACAATCCTCTCCGACAGCTCCCGCTTCACTGTCCGCCATTGTTTTTAAAAGTTCTGCCATCCGGCCCGCAAGGTATCTTGGGAAATGTAAACCACTGAAGGATACACCGGACCCATCCTTCATACAGGCGAAAAGAAGGCCGGATTCGTCGACCGCATTTGAAGGAGTCGTCGAATTGGGACAGGCCTTGTCGCGGCACTGTGACGTAACCGGCCGACGAAGGATGCAGACCCTGAATTGAGACACAGCCCCTGTGACATCATATGGTACCAGCTAACGTTCTAGGGTACCTCCTAGCCAATAGCGATGGCAGATTTAAATTCAAATGCAGTGCAGAGTTTTTACCTGACAACGGCACAACACTGACAGTTTTAGGCAGAAAATTTAAATTTTAACTAAAATGCACTAAAGTGCTAAACTACTGACAACACGTGTCTGCAGCACGATTAGACACACATTTATATAGTTTTTCAGAAAAAAAAGTAGATTTGGGGGTGACGCTCTTTAAATTGAGTCTGATTTAAAGATTTAAAACACAACAACAAAATCAGAGTTTTGATTTGTGGTATGTTTTAGTGTAAAAGTCACAAATAACATCCGTCTTACTCTTTGCAAAAGGATCCTTGAATAGTCTCCGTTCAAAGAAAATAGTTATTTTGTGACATTTAGGAGATTTAAGCTGTTTAAAAATGACACTTCTACATGCTTTGATCTGACTAGCAGTTAGCTCATCAATCCTGATGAGTGTAAGTTAGTTACAGGATAAAAGTTTGTCTAATAAACTCAGATCTAGTCACCCTGCATATAAAAACTTCTGCAAAATGAGTTCAATGAGTTTTTACAGGAACCGGGCTGCAGGGCCGTTGGAACCATCAAGCCAAGAAAAACTGTGTCCGCGTTTCTTCACGTCCCAGAACCGCAATAAAAAGATTTTCTGCACAGGCAGAGCAGTCATCCTTTAGAAAATGTTTGTAATAAAATCAGATGATAAGAAACATCAGGTTTGGAAAAATTTCACATGATCCTCCTGTTTCCTCCAAAACACGTCTGGTTTAAAGAAAAGAGAATAAAAAAACAAAAAAATTCGCAATAATCCACGAGGTCTGGTGTATTTTTGTTTTTGGGGTTTGCTCGCTCAACCTGACTCAGTTTCACTGATTTTAGTTCATGTTTGAAATTGTGTTTTTAAGGGTGAACGCTGATGCCGCGGTCTTGGCCCAAACAACAGATTCTGAATCTTCTTAGGAATAAAATAAAGATTAAGTGAAGAAAATAGAATATTTTAGAAAGAATAAATACCCGACCCATCCAGCAGAGCTGCTGAAGGGCTGTGGACAGGCTGATGTGCTAATTCAGAGAATACTATGAATAGAAATTGTGATTTATTAATAATAGAATAACAATGCTTTATACAAAAAGCAGCTGGTCATTGTGCTGAACATCCTGCTTGTTTTCTAAAGAGTTTAAACCTCTTTTGTTGTTTTTGTGAGGTTATAAATGACTGGTTTTATGTTTACATGTGTGTGTATGTGTGTGTGTGTGTGTGTGTGTGTGTGTGTGTGTGTGTGTGTGTGTGTGTGTGTGTGTGTGTGTGTGTGTCCGTCCTTAATAATGACACCTTCTCTCTTCTCTCTCTTCACTCTCCCACGCAGGTCTACAACTCTATCCTGGTCGTCATGGTGATCCTGCTCAACATTGGAGTGGCTATTTTGTTTATCCATTTTTTTATTTGAAGAGAGCGCTGCTTTCAGAGTCACCCAACCTATGCTAGACAAAAACCACCAGTATTACAGCGAACCTGCTCCCCCTGCGAGCTCCAGGCCGAGGGACGACCAGGACCGCTGAAGGCTGCGCCATCGTTCATGCTGAAGGGGGCCGAGCCGGGCCGAGCTCGGTCCAGCCATTGGCGGAGGGCGCTGAGCCCAAAGAAATGGATGGAAGATTGGTAAACAGTCGAAACAAATGGACCAGAGGAGATTACCGAGTCCAGACAGTGGACTCGGGTGAGCTTTACCCACTCACAACCAGACTCAAGTGGGCTGAACTGGTCTGACTCTCGGGTTGACCAGCCCGCAGACTGGACTGACAAACGTTTTCATTGTCAAATCATAGTTTTCAACAGATTTGTAACATCTAATTTATGAATGGTTATTTCTCTCATGTGCAATATGTTGATGGTTCTGTTTTTGTCACTTTCCACTCTTTGTAAAACTCCTGCCTTTAAGTTGGTCCACGGGCCTCGGCGTCGTTGGGTCACTGTGTGTGTGTGTGTGTGTGTGTGTGTGTGTGTGTGTGTGTGTGTGTGTGTGTGTGTGCGTGCGTGCGTGTGCGTGCGTGCGTGTGTGTGATCTTCAGGTAGGTCAGTGGTCGTCTCAGCCACTTATTAAATCATCAGAACATTTCCCAGCGGTTGCAGTCACATTCTGTCTTTGCTTTTTCCGTCTTATCTTTCCAACACCACCTCCACACACACACACACACTGATCATGGAGCAGAGGTCTGTTAGAGGAGCTGCTGGTCCAAAACTAATTCTTCCTATCCATGCTCTGCGTCACCAGAGGAGGCCTGTAGAAGGAATTGTGCCCCCCAGTGGTGCAACAGTAGTGGTACAACTTCTCCAAACTTGACCCAAACACCATCCTATCTTCTCTAACTCCCAGATGGCCTCGCAGCACGGATGTGACCTAGACTCCTCCCACGTGAAAGAGTCCTGACGGCGCTCTGGGGAAGGACTTCACACAGGACTCACGACGATGGAGGGGTTCTTACTTTCAGTTGGTAACAGATCATTTAATTCAATTCATTTGTTCATCAAGCTCCAAATTCCGACCTGAGTCGTCTCAAGGCTCTTCAAACAAAGTCCAGTTGGAATTTTATGTGTTTAAAAGATGTATTATTTGTGACTACGCTCCATCATTCACCACACAACCAGGGCTGGAAGTCCAGGAAGACAAACCAACATTTCCTAGCTCCTTCTGAAAAATTTCCAAGCATCTCCAGTTTTCCAGAAAATATAAATCCTTCCATTGGGTTCTGTGTCTGCCGCTGAGTGGGATATAACCAGGACACCCCGACATGAAACCAAGCAGAAGGTGTTTGTTATCACATCCCCAAACCGCCTCAGCTGGCTCCTGATGATGAGGAGGAGGAGCAGCAGCTCCTCCCAGATGACGGAGCTCCTCACCCCTCTGGGTCCATCCACTCTGTGGGGGAAGTTCCTTTCAGCTGCTTGGGTCCAGGATCCAAATCCCATAAGTCAGGGGTTCAGTTGGAGCAGCCTCCTTTGTCACCATGACGCCCCCTGTGATGACATGATGCAGACTCTAACCGGGTCTGGTTCACGATTGACCTCAGATCCATGAATCTCTGAGCTCCATCTTCATTTTGTCCCCTCTGTTTCTTGATCCGGCTTTTTTTTTCCTGTTTGTGTTCACACCTTCCTCATTACTCATCCCAACTCTGACCATCACTAACAACTTCCTGGAGGCTTTTACTGATTTTGCCTCACAGCATTTCTCTGACTCCAGACTGGAGCAGAAACTTGGCTGTAAGTTTGTTTCTGGTGTTTGTGCAGCAGCTCATGTTGGACATGCCTACAGCCTTCGAGGCAGAACAAAATGATTTTTATTTTATTTTGGGTCCCAAAATGATTTAAGAGACTCTGCCGTGTGCCATCGGCCTGGTGACGATGTCCTGCTCCACCCTTTTAGTCTGCAGCATGCTACAGCATGTCGAGCTCTTTCTATAGTTCAGATCTCCTCTTCTTTCTCTTTCTTTGTTCCTTCTTTTCTTTCTTTCTGGGAAAATATTCTGGTTCGATTTTCAGTTGTGTGGAGAAAATAATGAAAGTGTTTAAAAAACTGCGAGTCTCGTGTGGTTTTGATCCTCTGTGTGTGTGTGTGTGTGTGTGTGTGTGTGTGTGTGTGTGTGTGTGTGTGTGTGTGTGTGTGTGTGTGTGTGTGTGTGTGTGTGTGTGTGTGTTACGTGCACTGCGTCTACATTTTTGCAGCATCCCTGATGCAATGAGGGAGTATGCCAGCTTGAGGAGTGTGGTTTCCATGGAAACCTGAACAGAATTTCCTCATCAACAAAGAGGCGGGGTTATTGAATATGTGTTTATTTGGCTGTCAGTGAGAGAGGGAGGATGAAGGGATGATGATGAGCGTGTGATGAATATGGAAAGAAGCTTTAAAGAGCAAGTCACCCCCAAATAAACCTCTTAGCATACCATTGGCTAAGAGGTATGCTATGATGTAAACTGGTACATTATGATGTCACAGTGCTGTCGTGAGCCTGTGTGTGTGTATTCGTTAGCAGCTCCTCCTTCTCGGTCTGCCAGGCAACAGCATTTGTTGCATTTTTCAAACATGAAGTGGGAGTGGAGTTAGACTCTGGTAGGGGGTGACTTCTTAGGGCGAAACTGTAGCTACAAAACAGGTAAACAAAACTGTTTCTGTGTTTAAAAAGAACGAAAGCAGGGGGTGACTTGCTCTTTAATATTTAAGTTTAAGAGTCAGTTTTACTAAGTGTGAAGATGAAACGGCTCCTTCAAGGTTCAATCTGGGCTTTCATCGCCCTCTTCTGGACATTGTTGGGAATCACAACATCAAACTCAATCGGGATGAAGTAATAATGCATTTTAGTCATAAAGCACCTTTAAAACACCGTCTTAGACAGCACACCTGCAAAAACCCAAACCTGAATTATAAGATAACATGTAACGCTGATCAAATCAAATAAACAACAAACACAAATATATCTGGCACAGCAGTGGCTCAGGAGGTAGAGCGGGTTGTCCAGTCATCAGAAGGTTGCAGGTTCAATCCCAGCTCCCACCAGAGAATGCTGCTGTTGTGTCCTTGGGCAAGACATCCAACCAAGAGGGGCCGGTGGCCCCAGCGCCCAGCAGGCCCCGCCAACAGGGCAGCTGTGGCTACATCGTAGCTCATCACCAGTGTGTGAATGGGTGGATGACTGATTGTGTTGTGAAGCACCTTGGGGGTTGCAAAACCCTAGAAGGCGCTATACAAATACAGGCCACTTGCCATAATAGAATTATTTTTTTATTATATTTACAAATTCTTACATTGAAAGTGAAGTAAAAGATGATGCACCGATTCTGGTTTTGAGAGCTAGTTATTTCCGATTCCTGAGCACAGTGGCGTGTCCAGATCTTTTAAAATGGGGTGGCCCATGTGAGGCACTACTTTGTGCATGGGTGGCACCAATGGTTATCTTTTTAATTTTGTTTTACTCCAAGCCTTTTGTGGACAATTCCATTTAAAGGGAATTCAGTGTGTTGGCACCTGGGGTGGCCAGTCAGATTCTAAGGGTGGCATTTGCCACCCTAGGCCACTCCCTGAACACACCCCTGCCTGAGCAGCTCTGATACAGACTCATCACAAAGAAGTATTTTCATTGTGTCACCAGTCTGTAATTAACTTCTGGAAGCCCAACCTCTAACGTGGAAGAGCCGCTGCTGTTGCCTTCATAAGAATCAGTTTTACTATCAGACTGGCTCCTCACCAATTGGCCTATCAAGGTGAAAATTCACCAAATCCAGTCTCCATCAACGTTTTCAATGTAGTACGTCTTGAGAAGAGATTTTTGAATTTCTATACTGAAAAAATTTCATGAATATGCAAATGTTTCTAAATAAGTTACTGAAGTCCGTGAATTATATCAGTATTTGAATCTATCAAAAGTCATAGATATTAGTTCAACAATTTAACATTACTGTTTGGTTTTGACTGTTTCTAACTGAAGGATGCTAAAAGACGGATGGGGGCTCTCCGCGAAACCCACAGAGCACAGAAGTCACACCAAGAATAAGTCAAAGGAAACCCCAAAAACAAGTCACACTCATAATCTGGTCTACATGTGTCACCATTATGATCAAGACTCTAAAGTCATTTCAGTACTTAAACATACTGATAAAGCACAGATGGTGAAACCCTAGGATTAGAAAACAGAAACAGATCTACGTCACACTGTCACTTAAAGGGAGATTTTGCAAATTTTGCATATTTTTAAATCATTTTCTTGAGCATGTATGTCCTTAAATGACCCCTTACAGGGTTCACTTGCATCTTCAGCCTGGCGGCCCCTCTGTTGTGTCTTAGGAAAGAGGAGCTGACATACCTGGTGCTGCAGTCTGGTTCCAGCAAGTTTCCTGCATGTTTTAGATCATGAACACAGCTGATTTGTTTTATTTACTGATGAATCACTCTTGCAGACACTAAGGAAGTCTGGCAGACGTTTCAGATGTTATTAAAGTGTTAAAAAGACTAACACATTTACTAAAACCACACCAAAACTAGTTGTCCTTAAACATTCATGGACTCTCCCATCTTGACTAACAATGTGGAAGGCTGTTGTTGGTTTGGCATCCAGGAATCAGCAGCAAACGTCTCAGCTAGTAGAAGCTAACCATTAGCAACTCCACCACACAGCAGATCTCCTCCAGGCTTGTGTTATTTGTGGAGATAACACGTCAACATTGCAGAGCAAACAGAGGCCGTGTTCGAGTTGAGCAGCGCTTCGCCTGGAAAGCAGACAGAAGCAGCGGGGGAGTGGCTGAAAGCCGGCGTTTAAGTCGAACACGATTTCCTGCATGTGTAGCTCATGGGTGACGATGGCTGAAGATATTGCGTTAGAATTCATACTTGTTTAATTATTTATTTTAATTCTGGTGCCTGTTAGCAGCTGAAACACAACCTCACGTGCTTGTGGATATCATATATTGTATATGAAGACATGACTGTAATAATAAGTAAAGGTTATCAGCTGTAGGTTTAGAGTGCTCATAGGAAATGTGACAAAAGAACACAAAACACATTCCTCTTTATGGCCTATATAGTTGTCATCAACAACATAACATGATTTACAGAATACATGTGACCAACTAACATTTCATGTTCTACCACCGGATGTGGTAGGGCTGTCGTGGTTGACACGTCTCTGCAACATTGCGTGGTCATCGGGGGCAGTTCCTGTGGAGTGGCAGACCGGGGTGGTGGTCCCCATCTTTAAGAAGGGTGACCTGAGGGTGTGTTCCAACTATAAGAGGATCACACTCCTCAGCCTCCCTGGAAAGGTCTACTCCAAGGTACTGGAGAGGAGGGTCCGATCGATAGTTGAATCACAGATTGAGGAGGAGCAATGTGGTTTTCGTCCTGGCCGTGGAACTGTGGACCAGCTCTATACACTTGCAAGGGTGATGGAGGGGGCATGGGAGTTTGCCCAACCAATCCACATGTGCTTTGTGGATTTGGAGAAGGCTTATGACCGTGTCCCCAGGGCCACCCTGTGTGGGACGCTCCAGGAGTATGGGGTGGGTGGCTTTCAGTTAAGGGCCATTCAGTCCCTTTACCAGAGGAGCGTGAGTTTGGTTCACATAGCCGGTAGTAAGTCAGACCTGTTCCCGGTGAGGGTTGGACTCCACCAGGGCTGCCCTTTGTCGCCGGTTCTGTTCATAACCTTTATGGGCAGAATTTCTAGGCGCAGCCGTGGTGTGGAGTGTGTCGAGTTTGGTGGCAGGAGAATCTCGTCTCTGCTTTTAGCGGATGATGTGGTCCTCCTAGCTTCATCCAGCTCTGACCTTCAGCTCTTGCTGGGTAGGTTCACGGCCGAGTGTGAAGCGGCTGGGATGAGGATCAGCACCTCCAAATCTGAGACCATGGTTCTCGACCGGAAAAGGGTGGCTTTCCAACACCGGGTCGGCAGAGAGGTCCTACCTCAAGTGGAGGAGTTTAAGTTTCTCGGGGTCTTGTTCACGAGTGAGGGTAGGAGGGATCGGGAGATCGACAGGCTGATTGGTTCGGCGTCTGCAGTGATGCGGACGCTGAGCCGATCTGTCGTGGTGAAGAGGGAGCTGAGCCAGAATGCCAGGCTCTTGATTTACCGGTCAATCTACGTCCCAATCCTCACCTATGGTCATGAGCTTTGGGTAATGACCGAAAGAACAAGATCGCGGATACAAGCGGCCAAAATGAGTTTCCTCCGTAGGGTGGCCAGGCTCAGCCTTAGAGATAGGGTGAGGAGCTCCGACATTCGGGAGGGACTCGGAGTAGAACCGCTGATCCTCCGGATCGAAAGGAGCAAGTTGTGGTGGTTTGGGCATCTGGTCAGGATGCCTCCTGGACGCCTCCCTGGGGAGGTGTTTTGTGCATGTCCTGCCAGTAGGAGGCCCCCGGGTCGACCCAGGACACGTTGGAGAGGTTACATCTCCAATCTGGTCCGGGAACGCCTTGGGGTCCTGCCGGAGGAGCTGGTGGAGGTGGCCGGGGAGAGGACGGTCTGGAGCTCCCTGGTTGGGATGCTGCCCCCGCGACCCGGACCCGGATAAGCGGAGGAAGACGACGACGGTTCAGTTGGTTAAAAACACAAATATTGATTTGGATGAGTGTGAGAAAGCTGCACCAGCATATCAGAAATAATGGAGGGACTTTTTTAACTCAGTGTTGCAACCAGTGATCCATCGTTAATTTAAAGCAGAGAGAAGATGAGGCAAATGTTATTTTCTTAAACCCAATGTGATAAGCACCCCTCTTCAAGACTGCAGATAGTGTTTTGGCTGTCCTTATCTGATGGTTTTTCTTTCCTCTGGGCTGGATCTCTGATAAATTTGACCTTAAACAGGGTTTATCTTTACTTGTGTTTGGTAGCAAACTTTTGTACTTGTGGTAAGTTTATTTCGTCAATAAGTAAATGAAATTAATTCCTGTCCCGTTGTGCTTACCTCTTTCTGACCGTCATCAGTACACGGTTAAGGAAGTAGAAATGAATGGAAACATGATTTGTAAAAAATAACTGTATTTTTTCATTTTTACTAACTGAAACAAAAAACTATCTAGTTCAGAATTTTATCAGCTTTTTTCAATTGTTTATTATTTATTTATTTATTGGCAGAAATCCAGCATTCATTTAAGAAAACAAAGTGTTCTTTCTTGTCTTTTTGGCCTGATAGTGGAAATCATCTACAGTCAGATTCATACAGAAGGACCATCTGGACCAGCTGGCGCTCCTGGAATTCCAGGACCACCAGGTAACGGGAAAATGTGGTTCTGAATTCACAGCTCTTCTCTCACCTGTGTTTCCAGGTTTCCTGACGTGTTTATTGTTCAGGACGGGAAGAAGAGAATCAAATTGGTCAAAAAGGGGAAAAAAGGTTTATATTTAAAACAAGAAACATTTTAACTGACAGTAATGTTTTAATCTGACGTCAGATGGGGATCAGAGCTTTTTATCTTAAATTAAGCACAATACTGACCCGCTCTCTACCTGGAACCTCGGAAACTCAGCTCCTACTGCTTCTTGTGGAAACCTCGTGCTCATCATCAGGCTGGACCACCTCTCCTTGAATCTCTCAGTACTACAGAAACAGTAAAGTCTGAAGTCAACCAGCTAAATGAGTCTTTGTTTTCCAGACCCTGCCTTTGAGCCGCAAAAACGTTGCCTCCTTTTGAAGTCATTTAATACATTTTCTTACCTTGATCTCTTGTGTCTTGATTCTGCGTGTCTTGGGTCAGGAAAATTAATCTAAACATGACAATCCTCTGCTCTCGACTGCCCTTTCCACATTTTTCATAATCGGCCAATCCCATTGTTGTCCAAACCATTGAGGAATCAGTGGAGACAGTCTTTTGGTTTTACTGGATTATTGTATACCTCCACATGCTATATGCTGATGGTAGACTGGCCTCTTCTGAACAGTTGCTGGTCAAATTTCATATTTACAACTCACAGTTATTTAGATGCCTACATCTAAGACACTTTGTTAAATCTAAATCTGAATGTTTTCCCTTGTGCCCATCTCCGACTCATCTTGATGAGATCTTTGACTGCCGAACATCTAAGAAAGTTCTAAGCCGACTTTATACTCTGCTCTCGTGTTCTGGACGTGTTCGACTCTACAGGGATGTTGGTGGTCTATTTTGGATGCACCCTCCAAGATTTGTGGGGCCGCTGTAGACCCTTTGACCACATTGTTTGGCGTGGTCACAATGGAAGCTTTGTAGGATTAAAGAGAACATGACTGCTTTGTGCTCAAGTTGGCCAAGAGACTCACATTGTCCAAGTGGAAGGACTCTTTTCCGCCAACATATGGAGCTTTTGAGTTCATCTGGAGAGGATTCGACATTGTTTGAGGGGCTTGGTGCAGGATTTTAGTGTTGTATGGTTATGTCCTATTTTGAGAATGTACAGGTACTTGTTAATACTTTTGTGTGAATGTTTTACTTTGTTGTTTTATTAGATTGTATAATGATTAGGTATCAAACAGAAACTTTTTTGTGCTTGTATTCTGTTCTTTATGTTTGATCCAGCATAGTAAGGCGGGGTTTTGTTGTTTTGTGTGGTACTTGGTTCTAAAGCAAGGGTCTCCATCCTTTTAGAGATCATGAGCTCCAGGTCTTTCATAGGACCATTTTTTAATGAAAAGGAATAAAGGACCATTTAATGAGTAGTCACAGGGTAAGTTTTCCCAACGTTACCACAGAGACCAATTTGGTGCGCCACTCCAAAATGTTCACTGGGCTCATCTGGCTGCCCCAATGAAATTTCCTGGCGATACACTCTGTAGTAAACAGTGGCAACAAAACCGTGTCCCCAACCACTCTGGCCTGTCCCGGACGCCTCGGTGGAACCAAGGCTTTAGTTTTTAAACGTATTTTCTCACAGCTAGAGACCAGAAGATAGCCCAGTCCTATTTTAAAGGTGATAAGAATGTTTTTTCTCAGACCACAGGAAGTGTTTTGGCTCTCTTTATGTGACGTTTTCTTGCTCTGAGCTGGATCTCTGATAAATATGATCTCAGGACATTTTCATCTTCACTTGTGTTTGGTAGTAACACCTGAGATACAAATGAAATAATTTTGTTCCTGTGGTGAGTTTCTTTTTATCATTAAATAAATTGGACTCCTGTCCTCTTTAGAGTTTTTAAATGTTTCACTTCTAACCTCTATCAGATAAACGGGTGAAGAAGTAGAAATGACAGGAAACATCATTTGTAACAAGGAACTATTTATTTTTCGTCAAGTTTTTTGAACAACTGTTATGCTGATTAGTTCTGAACTGAAATGTTTTCTTATATTTCTACAGAGATTTGGTCAATCAATACTTTTGAGAAGATGAAGCTCTGTCTTCTCTCGTGTGTTTTTGGCCTGATGGCTTCCACCGTCTACAGTCAGGTCCATGTGGATTCTTCTTTAGTACAGCAAGGACCAGCTGGACCTCCAGGACCACGAGGGTTAGCTGGACCTCCAGGAATACCAGGAATACCAGGACCAGTTGGACGACCTGGAGTACGAGGTAACAGTGAAACTTCATAGCTCATTTTTCATGTGTGTTTAAACAGAGTGTGTCTGAATTGTTCAGTTCAGGTTTCCTGAAGTGTTCCATGTTCAGAACATAAAGAACAGTATCAAAAGCTCCAATCAGGAAAATAAAGTTTTAGATAAAAAGAATATTTATAGTGTAATCAGATGGTGATCAGAGCTTTTCTGTATTAAATCTGTCACAACACAACTTTTTCCAAATCAGAACCTCAGTGTTCGATTATTAGTATGACTATAGATTACTGACCCGTGTCACTTTAACAAGAGCTTTAATCTTTAATCACATCATTAGATCGACCAGTTCCTTCCTTCCTTGAGGGAGAAACGCAGATTATGTCAGGTTTTCTGTCCACTTTGGAACATGACTATCAGATAAAAACACAAGCTTTAATCTGGCTTCAGTATGAGCTCCAGTCCAAGGGCGCAGATAGGATTTTCAAACTGGGGGGGACAAAGTTCCAATGTACCCTCCCCCAAACACATACACACACAGGCACGCACGCACGTACACATACACAAACAATTGCAAGAGCCTCAACTAGAGCTCAGTCAGTTTGTGTAATTTCATCCAACGGTTTACGAAATGAATGGAACGGGTGAATTTTCTGCCTAGGCTCTTCTCAGGTCCTGTCCACACGTAGCCGGGGGTCTGCCGAAACGTAGATATTTTTCTACGTTTTGGCCTGTCATCCACACGAAAACGGAGTTTTTTCACACGAAAACAGATCTTTTTAAAAACTCCGGCCAAAGTGAAGATCTGCGTTTTCTCCGTTTTGGGTGTCTGCGTGTGGACAGACAAAACCGGAGTTTTAAGGTCCGCAACGTCACTTTCCGCGACAAAAAAAATGCTGACATCACGTGTGCGACCTGTGTTTCCACTAGCCGACAGCATGGATGCCCTCAGAGCTGCGCTCGCTTTATCAATTGTCCAAGCGCTTTTTGCTCGTTTGTTTTTGCAAGCAGAATTACTGCTCCTTGCGGAAGACCACAGACGAAGGACGAGGTTAAGAACGGGGGAAGTACTGCCGCCTACAGGTCTGGCATGTCCTTAACAACGTATTTATCCGGGTACGTGTGGACAGTTTTTTTTAAACGAGGTGGTGTGGATGCAAGTTTTTGTAGGGGCGGAGATTCGTTTAAAAAAAAACCCGGCTACGTGTGGACTAGGCCTCAGTCAGTGAGCAGGACACGCCCCCTCTCCCTCGAACATCAGTTTTAGGACTGTGAACGTTCGACTGGAGCTCAAACTGAAGCCAGATTAAAGCTTGTGTTTTTATCTGATATTCATGTTGCAAAGTGGACAGAAAACCTGATATAATCTGCGTTTCTCCCTCAAGGAAGGAAGAAACTGATCGATCCAATGGCGTGATTAAAGATTAAAGCTCTGATTAATGTGACACAGGTCAGCACTCTATAGTCATACTAATAATCTAACACTTAATTGGACCAGCTAGACCACCAATTCTGACCAATTCTGATTGCTTCACAGCCGAACAGTAAAAAATATTAAAATTCAGTTGATAAAGGGTCTAAAGGGTTGTCCACATGTAAGTTCAAATCACCAGTTAAAATTATCTGTCCAAAGAAGTTGTGCAACGTTGATGAAAACTGAAAATTCTTTAAAATTTGTGCTGCTTTTTGGAGGCCAAAAAAAATAAGCTGTATTATATAAAAAAATGCTAAAATTATCAAATGAAACAGGTTTGGTGTTAAGTGTTGCAGAACTGTCTTCCCTTTTGCTGCTCTGTGTAGAATAAGTAATGTCAAAATTTGGAGGGGAAACTTCTGTAAGAACAACAGCGGCATCTGCATTTAGCCAAGTCTCTGTTAAAAGTAAACTCAAGATTGTGGTCTAAAATTAAGTCATTCATAATAAAAGGTTTGTTCAGCAGAGAGCGGACATTTAAAAAATGCAATATTAATAGTGACTGGAGATGGAGTGATAGCATGATTCTGTGAAAGTCAAATTATTGGTAACTGTTGAAGATTATGTCACGCGTGCTGGTGAGTGAAGCGGAGGTGAGGATCCAATTGCAGGGGAAGAAGCAGGCAGGCAGGCAGGCACATTTAAAATGAGGATTTAATAAGGAACACGCAGGACTTTGAAACAATGAACCGACCAAACACACAGAACTGAGAGGGTTTAAATACATGAGGGCTGGGAGCTTGGGTGATTGGAAAACGAGAGGCAGGTGGGAGCAATCAACAGAGACACATGACTGAACAGAATGGGGAGACAGGACAGGGTGTGACACATTATAGGGGTTGCATTACTTTTATCCACACACATCTTCTAGAGCAGACTCTTAGGTTGAATCATGACTTCATGTGCACACATGCAGATACATCGGCCCATTGTGTGGTTCTTCTAAACCTCAAGAAACTACTCTTCATGAATAAAGACAAGCTGAACAAATTAATCTTTAGCTCAATCTCAGACTTTTAAGACATGAAATTCAATGAGCTGGTTTAGTGTGTGTGTGTGTGTGTGTGTGTGTGTGTGTGTGTGTGTGTGTGTGTGTGTGTGTTTTCAATTTGACAATAATTATATAATGGGTTTCTGAGGAGCAGTCATATGTATTAAAACACATAACCCTGCCTGCCAAATGAAGCTGATTATGATTCTTTTTTTGGACACATGTTGGAAAATGAGGAATGTCGGGGCCAGTGGGACCACCTGGACCTGCTATGATGTGTGGACGAGGTAATTATTCAGCAAGCCTCTTAAATGGGTTCAGGGAATGATGGGAAATGTCTACGTTTCTGTAACTCATCATGCAGCAGCAGAAATGCTTAATAGAAAGATGAAAAAAAATGGCCTGTTAAGTGAACTTTGATACTGAACATATTCTACTTCATCCAGATCTCTTTGGTTCTGTTGGACAGGATGTTGAATTGTTAATGAAGATGACCACAAAGCTAGAATTGGGTATGTATGTGAATCAGTGATTATTAGTGAATGCTGATTTATTACAGCTCAATAAATCCTAGTAGGTTCTAACTAAAGGTTTTCAAAATCATTTTCCAACTCATCCAATGAGCTTTCTCAAATCACTCTCTAGTCCCTCCTTCGGAAGGGTCTTTAGTATGGAGTGCCATTTTTGATGCGATGCTTGAAAGTGAAGTGAAAAGTTTAACTGGAAACAATCTCCTGAGTTTATTGTTGGTTTTGGCCAGAGATGATAAACATCTTAAACTATAAAAAGAACCAGTTGCTTTTATATGATTCTACAAAAGCTCCGGTTCCATTGAGGGGTTTGGGAAGGGTCGAAACAGGTCAGGACCATAGACTGTAAGTTGAACAAACCGTCCATGCCGTTACCTTTAGGTTTCTGCAGAACTGAACTGAAGACGACTGGGCGTTTCCCACCATCATGGCCACATCATGCATCTCATCTTTTACCAGTCAATGAAAAGGACATGTTCCTAATTATTCATAAATTCACTTAAATGGATGAGTTACAAAATGAGCCTGTGGGGGCCTTGTGGTCGTTTCAGTATTGGATGGGTGGGGCTGGGTAACCACAGGGTTGGGGTATGGTAGCTGGTGGCCTGGGATCTTGGGCATCTGGGGCTGCCTACTGTTGTGGGAGCTGTTCTGGGAATGGGGTGGGCCCTCCACTGCTTGGCCCCTCAAGTTTTGCGGCCAAGGGTGTCCTCTCAAACTACCATCCTCACCATCCCTGTGGATTGGGAGTCCAGTTGGGGTGTGTGGCTGGGTAGGCTTGGTCGCCTCATGCTGGCTGTCCCTCACAGAGGTTCAGGTGGGCCTTTGGGTTGTCTCATTCTGGGCTTGCCTGTATTGGTGGGGGTGACAGTGTGTTGGCGTCCCCAAATGCGCTTCCTTTGACTGGAGGCTGGTGCCCTGACATACTTTGGCTGGCCCCCCTTCTACCTTCTGCCCTCTGGGCAGGCTTATTGATGTCCATCCATTGAAGGCTATCTGCTCCTGTGATGGGCGTGGCCACTGACTGGTGCTGGTGGGACCTGGGCTGCTGCGGGCAGTTCCTCCCTTATCACATACACAACATATAAAAAACAAAACAACTCTTGGTGACAAATCCACATTCAGACACCCAGAAACACTTAGTATTACACATAAATGGCCCAATCATAATAATGGTAGAGATTGAAGAACAGTGGTCCAAGAACTGAGCTTTTGGGGGACCCCACATGTCATGATGATCAGCTTTGATCTGTGATCACCAATAGAGACAACATAACCTCTGGCTTTGAGATATGATCTGAACCAACGGTGGACTGTGCTTGATAGTCCCACCCAGTTTATCAGCCTAAAATATCAGGAGTGGCTTTTCTGGAGGAAAAAAAACACTAATAGAATAGAATTAGATTCGAATAGAATAGAATAGAAGAACAAATTTCTTTATTGTCCCTCAGTGGGGAAATGTTAGTGTAACAGCAACAAAGCAGTATCAATTAAGAGTGACGTGAACAAAGTCTAAAGAATAAAATACTGTGAAGTGAAAATAAAAACTCAAAATATACTTAAGACTGAAATTGAATTAATTCACCAAATAAAAAAATGAACTATGTAATAAACTGTAGCAGAATATTCACAGGGAGTGAGAACATCAACAAGTATAATAAGCACATTTTCTGGCTGGTTTCTTTTACACCATTCTAAGATGTTCATCCTGTGTGACGGGAGCCTAAAGACAGATCTATATCCATGTACCAAGAGTAACTCAAATACATACAAAGTAATAAATGCACACAGTGTATATTTTTTTCTGATTCCCTGCACCATTTCTCCCATTTTCCAGCTGTTACCTTTCACTTTGTGAGGAAGGTTGGTCATAAATACTTGGTGTCCAACAAGGAGAGAGGTTCCTTTCAGAAGGCCTCTGAGTTCTGCTCCCAACAAGGAGCCGAGCTGGTCCTTCCCCAGAGTGAAGAGGAGAACAACAAGCTGACTCTGCTGATTGGTGAAGCTGATCAAACAGCCTGGATCAACAGAGAAGGGTTAGAGAGTGAACGTCTGAAGTTTTCCAAATGGGCAGAAGGACAGCCAGATGAACCCATCCAGCAAGAAAGCTGCATCGTGGTGTCTGATAAGGGCTACTGGAGAGTGTCACGAGACTGTTCTCTGAACGCCTACATCGTCTGTCAGATATAGAAAGATGTAATCTGACATGTTGTTGCTTAAAAAGGCCAAAAAGATTATTTAGCAACTTTTATCTGACTGCTTTCATATCAGTGATTTTCTTAATGTAGCTTTAAAGTTCCTGCAGAAAATAAACACAATTGACACATTAAAGACTGAATTTATGTCTGTGTCATGTAAACCCAATGAAAGTTCAAACAAAGTCTGATCCAGTCCCCCTCTTGGAGGTGACGTCCAACAACATCATAAGGACTGGGAGCTCTTTAGTCTACTCTCGTCAACTGAACCTTCACCAGCACACACCTTTCAAGTTACTGTGTTTAATGCCGGTGTTCTGGGAATTTCCCCGTAAACCGTCCTGCCCGTTGTTCCTGAGCATGTGCGCGCATGCGCACAACACAAAAAGGGAATGCTACTCCGTTGTCATATTTGCAGGAAAATAGATAAGTAGTAAGTATTAGTACTTATTATTGACGTTGATACTTGATTTTTTGGGTAAGGGTTAGGGTTTGTGTCATGTAAAACACCATAAAATTAACCCACGGGTAGGACGTTTTGCCATAGTAGGACGTTTTCTCAGAACACCGGCCTTTCAAACAGCATCCAACTGTTCCAGGGACAGACTTAGACCAGCAAACTATTGGAGCTTTCACTTCTGGGCCACCACGGACCAGACTGGGAGCTTTTAAAGCGTTCATATCTAGGTAGCCTTGTATTTTTCCGTGCTCAACCAATTGGTTTTTCGGCCCACACGTCGGTAAAAAAAATGTAAAAAAGGCTGAACCAAAGGTATTTTCCATGTCTGATCCCCCGCACAGACATGGCCATCAGGAGATTTCTCTCAAAAGGAGCATTAGGTAAGTTGAAAGTCCCACAGGACATGTTTTAGTGCAGCTAGTCAGTGTTATTCATCAGCTAGGCTCTCTGGCTGTGTTCAAACATTGATTAGACAGCTTAGGTGTGTTCTTGCTGTGTCGTAGTTCTAATTCCATGCTGTCGTTCTTTTTAAAACACAGAAACAGTTTCGTTACCTGTTTTGTCGCTACGTTTCTTCTGCGGCTGCAGACTTCCTCAAGCTGACGCTGATGGTGGCGTCACTTCCTTCTCCGTTTATCCGCGGGCAGCAGAGGACGTTGTCGCCCTCTGCTGCCCGCTCTCCCCTCTCCGACGATGCAGTCCCATGCGCGGTCCAACGTGTAAACTCCATCATCCCTGTGCATGGTCCCACGTCCACGTCTCCTTATCTCGATTGCTTCTTTAATCCATCTTTTGTATTTTTGTTGTTCGGTGTTTACGATCCTTGTGTTGTCCCAGTCCATTCAGTAGCGGTTTTAGGCACGGGCAGACATGGCAGTTGCCCGGGGCGGCATTTTTTCATGACACAAAAAGGGGCGCACAAGCGCTGAGTAAAAAATAAAAAAGAAAGAAATCTGCGCCGCACCGAGGTTTTCTATTATCTGTCATATATCACAGAGTCTGGATTGGAAACCGCAAGTTGGCGCCCCCTGCAGCTGCAGGCCCTCCTGCTGACTGAGAGGGTTCAGGTGCTCCGTGTGTGTAAGAAGAAGAGGAAGGGGAGGGGTGCGGCAGGGGAATTCACCTCTGGGTCTTTCCCAAATGAAATGAGCGGGTAGGGGCTGAATCAACTGTATTAACATGGCTAAAGTCAATCACATCTTGATGTTCTTCCATTTAACGCCCATTTCATTCATTATATCATAAACACAGGCCTATCATTCTTTCAGGTTTTTCTGAATTGTGTGAAATGACCAAATAAAAAAAGGAAAAACAAAACGATTTTGTGGTCACACCCCACCCCCCACCCCCCCACCCCCCATCAAGGTCAAATTGTTTAGTCCTGACTAAAGGAAACTTATTGAGTCAAGAGCCAAACAGAAGAGATGAACATAAAAAGGCTAAAACCACCAGGTGCCCCATTCAGGAAAGAAAAAGAAAAAAAAGAGGAGAAAGATAAAGGTATGTACGCTCTCATGATGCATGTTTTCAATTTTTTGAACCAGTTAACTGGGGTTTTAACGGTTAAATTCGGTCAGCTAAGTGCTAACAGAGCTAATAGGGCTGAAATATTGAAACGAATATTCAAATGGTTCGAAAAAATTCCTTGAATCTTTTTTTACTGATTCAAACTAGGATTTGTTAAATGCTCGCTGCAGCCTGCCTGAACAACAACAAACACATGTTGATCATGTTCACATAATAATAAATAAAACAACTCTACAAGCAGGAGAAAAGTCCCCAGTCACCACTAACTATCCTGTTTATTTATTGCAAATGGCTGCACTGATTATTTTTTACATGATTTGTTCTGTAAAAGGGCTCAAAGGGGGCCTCGCCCGGGGAGTAATTCCATGTAGAACCGCCACTGAGTCCATTATATGGTTTTCTCTTATGCAGTGATCTGTTACGGCTGACTTTTTTATTGTACTTTCTGCTTCTTGTTTTGCTGATCTCGTGTGTTTTCGACTTGCCTCTTTCTCACACTCCTTTCTATGTTCTGTTGTTCGTGTGTTGAGTTGGCGTCCGGTTTCTCCTACGTATGTTTTATTGCAGAGTTTGCATGGGATTTCGTAGATGACTCCACATTTAAGTCCAGCTGATATTTTGTCTTTTGGGTGCACTAGTCTGTTTCTAACTGTTGTGTATGGTTTAGTTGGTGTGTTTATGTTGTGTTTTTTCATTGTTGCTCTTATTTTTTCTGTTATGCCTCTGATGTATGGTAGGGTTATCACTGGTTTTGGTTCTTGTCTTTCTGGGTTTCTGGTTCTTTGCTTAGGTTGTTCTTTTCTTTCCGTTTTTGTTTGTTGTTTTCCTTTGTTTATTGCCCATGTCGGGTATCCGCAGGTCTTTAAAGCATGTTGTATGTGTTTGTCCTCTTGTTTACGGTCTCTTTCTTCTGTTATTATGTTTGCACGGTGATATAGTGTTCTGATTACTGACATTTTGTGTATGGTGGGGTGTTCTGATGTCCATAATAGATATTGTGTGTTGGTTTCCTGTATGTGTTTATGTTTAGGGTCCCGTCGGTCTGTCTGGTGATTTTCATGTCCATAAATGCTATGCTGCCTTCTGTTTCTGACTCATAAGTGAATTTTATGCTGCCTGTGTCGTCAATGTTATTCAAGTGTTGTGTTAGTGTTTCTGTTTGTCCTTTTGGTATGATTTCCAGTATGTCGTCTACGTAGCGTTTCCATAGTTTTATTTTACAGTTTGGGGGGGCGGTGGCTATGGCTTTTTGTTCCAGGTCTTCCATGAAAAACTCGCACAGGGTGGCTGATAACGGGTTACCCATGGCGAAGCCTTCCAGTTGTTTGTATATTGTGTTGTCATTTGTGAAGTAAGTGGAGTTAGCTACCAGTCCTATCAGTCGTGCTATGTCGTCTGCTGTGAGGTTTGTTCTTTTGTGTAAAGTCTTGTCCTGTCTGATTCTGTTAACTACTATGTCTATGGTTTTTTGGGTTGGTGTTTTTGTGAACAGAGATGTGACGTCATGTGAGATGAGTATGTCGTTGTCTTCTGTTGTAATCTCCTTTAGTTCTTTTGCAAGTTCTATGCTGTTTTTGCAGTGTTGATCTGTATTTCCTAATAACGGGCTGATGATTTTGCTGATATCTTTTGCCATGTTGTATGTTGGTGTACCTATGCTGTCAACTATTGGTCTAAGTGGGGTGTTTTGTTTGTGTATTTTTGGCGTTCCATATATTCTTGGTGTTATGTTTGCCGTAGGAATCCAGTGTTTATACATTTTTTCTGTTATTTTGCCTTTTTCTTGTAGTGGCTTCAGTAATTTTTTCATGTTTTTCTTAATGTTTTCTGTTGGGTCTTTTTTAAGTATTTTGTATGTATTTTGGTCCTCTAGCATCTGTTTCATCCGTTTATATTTTTCTCTGTCCATAACAACTGCGGTTCGTCCTTTGTCTGCCGGTAGAATAATTATCTGTTCATTTTTGGATAAAGCTGTCATGGCTGATTGTTCTTCTTTTTGCTGTGTTGAATGTGGCTGTTTTTTAATATCCCATCTAAGTTATTTCTAAGTTCTGCTTTCTTTCCCTCATCTGTGATCTGTTGACATGCTAGTTCTGTTGCTACAATGAATTCATCATATGGTATTTCTTTGGGTGTGACTGCAAAGTTTAAACCTTTCTTTAATAAGCTCTCTTCTGCTTCTGTTAGTTCATATTGTGAAATATTACATACCCATGAGTTTGGTGTGGAGTTATCTTGTATTTCCTCCTTCTTTTTCTTGTTTATGAGTTTGTTTAACTTCTTTATGTGTTTTTCTTTTACTTTTGTGAACTCTTTTTCCTGTTTATATAAACATTTATTTATATATATAAACGGAGAAGGAAGTAACGCCACCATCAGCGTCAGCCTGAGGAAGTCTGCAGCCGCAGACGAAACGTAGCGACAAAACAGGTAACGAAAATGTTTCTGTGTTTTAAAAAGAACAACAGCATGGATTTGATTAGACAGACTGGTTATGTGGTTCTGATCCGATCGGTTGTTCTTAGTGAAAATTAATGTTCCAGATAAACACAATAGCTAAACTGAATTCTGACTAGTAGAAACTTTCATTTTAAACACCTATAATCTAACTCCTAATAGTAAAATGTCTTATTTTAAATAGATGCAATGAAAAAAGACATCCAGCTGTCATTATATATAATAATCTCTCTCTCTCTCTCTCTCTCTCTCTCTCTCTCTCTCTCTCTCTCTCTCTCTCTCTCTCTGCCTGTCTCTCCTTTAGTAGAAAGACAGACAGACTTAGGCCAGTATGTATTGATGTTTTCCTATATGTCATGTATATATACACCAATAATAATATCATGTCTTGAACCAAAGACAACATAAGCCAGAGGTGAAAGTGAACAAGACATTTCATAAATGATCATCAGGGCTGCTGTAAAGTCTAATCTCTAGTCCAGTCTAGCCTGACCAGCCTAGACTATATATATATATATATATATATATATATATATATATATATATATATATATATATATATGAGAGAGAGAGAGAGAGAGAGAGAGAGAGAGAGAGAGAGAGATCCATCCATCCATCCATCCATTTTCTGAACCCGCTTTGTCCATGTATGTTCGCGGGGGGGCTGGTGCCTATCTCCAGCGGTCAACGGGCAATCAGGCGGGGTACACCCTGGACAGAGAGCCAGTCCATCGCAGGGCAACACATAGACACACAGGACAAACACACACACACACACACTCACACCTAAGGACAATTTTGACAGACCAGTCAGCCTAACAGTCATGTTTTTGGACTGTGGGAGGAAGCCGAAGTACCCGGAGAGAACCCACAGGGAGGACATTCAAACTCCATGCAGAAAGATCCCAGGCCGGGAATCAAACCCAGGACCTTCTCGCTGCAAGGCAACAGCTCTAACCACTGTGCCATATAATAGATAGAAATTCATACACCAACTTGCCTGGTCTATGTTTAATCAAAAGATTATAATATTTATTTAAAGATTTAATTTAATAGCAAAAGTTATTTGTTAATTCAGAAGATCTAAAGATCTTTGCTTGTTCAGTGATCAATATACAACCACTCTGTGTTCATTTCAAGAAAAAGTCAAGTTTAGAAAGGTTAAGTAATTTATTACTAAACAATTTAAACATGCCAATTTATAAAAGACAATTTATAAAAGAAACTTTATAAAAGCTTTGGTACTAAAAAGCAACCCCGTGTTTGGATGAATCTAAGGTGAAGTGTGTTTTGTTTGCTGTTGAATGCAATGTCTCAGAACGTGTATCTTGAAAGAGAGGACGCGTTCTGGGTGAAAAAGAATTTGGTTTGCGAATAAGCTAAGTTGTTCTTAATAAAAAAGCATTCATCTCGTAGCATCAGCTTGTTCAGCAGGTGTCGTTTTGTTGTGTAGGAGCAACTCTGCCAGCATGGCAGAAATTGCTGTGTTGGTTAGAGTGTGGGCGGCCGTCCCAACTTCTCTAGAACTCACTCGCAAATGACGAGAGTTCTGTTTTATAAGATGGCTACTTCCATATTCCAGCGTACCAGGTTCTGACATGTAGAAGGACGGTATTAACAAACCCTCAGAAACACGCCTCCCTGAGGACAGAAGGTTCTGGTGTTATGGGAAAAGATCATGTGAGTGCAAATTACCTTTAACCTAGTTACTGTGACCTGTGTTTCTGTGTATAAGTACACATGATTACTTGCCATAGTTAACACTACTGATAATCATAAATAATAATTAACCTAAGAATAATAATTCATTTCAGTAATTAAACACGGTTATAATGAACCTTGATGATTAGTAGTAAAAATAGTTTATTTAAATGATTCTTTTAAATCGTGAAATATCCTCGTCTTGCTGTGGATGGAATAGCAGTCAGACAAGCAGACAGCTGCAGATTGAAGGAGCGGTAGTAGACTTTACGTCTCCTGTGAAGGACTATCGGAGATTGGAGCAGTAGCCAGGGCAAGGTGGATCTGACCTGGGAGTCTTAAAATCAGGCCATGTTGTGATGCTACACCTACAAAGCACATAGAGTGCTGTGATTGGTCCATAAAGCAGATAGAGTGCTGTAATTGTGGACCAATCACAGCTCTCTATGTTTTTGAAACCTCTATAGAGAGCTGTGATTGGCCAGCCAAAATGCTACTAGAGTCTGCAGAGGTTCCAATGCTTCGTTCCTAGACCAAACCTTGCAAGACAAGAATTTGGTCCAGTTCACTAGGCTAGCATTGCATGGCTAGCCCTGCGACAACTAGTGATGTGACATTCACAAACAAGTCAAATCTTTTAAACGAGTTTTCAGAGCCAACAATGAGAGCCGAGCCCTTGTAGAGAACAGTTCATCCGGTCTCCCAGTAAACCCCGTCCAACCCTGCTTTCACGGCTCTGCTTCATTCAAAGGGCTGATTCTTTTTAACGGCTCGTTGAGTTAAATGACTGAGTAATCTATGGCTCCTTTCAAAGAGCCATAAGTCCCACTGTCGAGTTATCTTCTCGTTGCCCAAACTCTGGGCGTGGCCCCCAGCAGAGGATGTTGGACAACTCCACTCATTTAGTCTAGTTTCGTTTTTTTTTCTTTACTGGTGGTTAGGTTAGGTTGATAACCTTAAGCAAACAAATTCATATAATTAGCACATTTACAGACATTAGCAGACAGATTAGACATAATAGACTTTAGTTGTACACTTTTTAAAACTTTAATTCCCCTTGGAGATGCAGCACAAATAAGCTTACATTTATTTTATAACTTTATTTATTTTTTGTTTAATAAGTAAAGATACATACCAGAAGCATCTCTGTGGTTGCCAAACACTGAGCAAACAAACTGAAGCAAAGCAAAGGAACCATCGGTCTGGTTTACACTAATCAAATCTCTCTACCAGGAGGCAAGATGACCATACCGATTACTTTTGACGTAACACTGCCCTCTTTTGTGCAAAACGTGTAAAGTCAAGCACTAACAAAAATCATAGAACTATCATAGAATTACTTCTTTATTCCATAACACCCACCACTAACACCGACTAACCCATGGACCCGGCGTTAGAGATGAGCCTCTGTCACAACGATAGACCGTCACAACCTTGCCTTTTCTGCATAATCAGAACCACTGTGGTCAACCATGCCTTGTTGAGATAGAGGACCAAATAAGTTCTTGAGAATGTCGTTGAATCCATGCAAAGGTCAGCTACTGTCTGGCTGAGTACACATCCTAATGACAGGACTACAGTATAGCTGAGTACTAAGAACAAAACAAATGAATAAAAAGTAATTAATGCACACAATGTATATTTTTTTCTAATTCCCTGCACCATTTCTCCCATTTCCCAGCTGTTACCTTTGACTTTGTGAGGAAGGTTGGCCAGACATACTTGGTGTCCAACAAGGAGAGAGGCTCCTTTCAGAAGGCCTCTGAGTTATGCTCCCAACAAGGAGTAGAGCTGGTCCTGTGTCATGACTCGAGGTAAGTGCCTAACCCAAGACATGCAGAATCATCACACGTAGTCCATAGCAGTAAAGTAAAATGTCTTTATTATAATAACGGTAACTGAAACAGCTCAGGGAAGTCCTGTGGGAATGAGCAATACGGCTCGAGTCTCTGAGGTGCTCAGGATAATCAGGAGAGGAGGGGAAGCCGGGGAGGACGCTGGGCAGAGGGTGAGAGATCCAGGAGGGGTGAGGTAGCAGAGGGAAAGCCAAACAGGAACGGCGGAGGAGGATGGGACGTGATGAGTATATTCCAGAAAACAAAGACAGCGAGGGTGAGTAGATGATGAGATGATCCTAAACTGGTGCAATCATCCGGCAAAGTGAAGTGTCTCCATCCTCCTTTTAAACCCGCGTTCCTGATTTGGGAATCGCCTGCAGCTGTTGCTCCCTCTGCTCCTCACCTGTGGAGAATTAACTCAGACTCTGGTGAGTGGAGATGGTGTGACTCACCTCTGCCCAGGAACATGACAGTGCCCCCCCCCCCCCCCCCCCCCCCTCAACGGACGCCCCCTGGCATCCCAGCACCGGATCTGGAGGCCTCGAAGTTCGAGATGAGAGAGGGGTCCTCGATGTAGGACCGGGGAATCCAGGAGCGTTCTTCCGGGCCGTATCCCTCCCAGTCCACCAAATATTGAAGACCCCGACCACGGGGGCGGGAGTCGAGGATGCGCCGAACCTTGTATACCAGCCCCCCTGAGCTGAGGCGGAGCCGGAACCGGGCACAGAGGGCTGGAAACGACGGGCTTAACCAGGGAGACATGGAACACGGGATGGATCCAAAGAGACGACGGGAGTTCCAACCGCACGGTCGTCAGGCTAGGGGAGCATTTTTATGTGGCCCGCAAGATAAATATCAAAAATATATTCAAACTGACCCGCTGGCCGATTTTACTGCAAATACTACAACTCCCATGATGCTTTGCGGCGTTAGCACGGAGCCGAGAGGCCCCCTCCTTTGTGTTTTTTCCAGCGTCTGCTGCCGGTGTGGACAAACTAAACAAGTTTACTCAGCTATTTGCCGACGTTGAAGCCCAGAAACGGAGATTTTAACCGCTCAGTAATGTGTTCACAACTGAAAGAGAAAGTTCTCCAACTAACTTCCAGACAGAGCTGATGTCACTCCAGCGAGCAGCGACACGCTCAAACCAGCATGACTCTGTGGCTGCTGTCTTTTTTATTTTTCCTCCCCGACACACAACAACGTGGTCAAGCTGCTCAGACATGTTCAGCAGCACAAACCTATGTGAGCACCTGTTGTCATCTAATGTTGTCATTATTATGATGAAGATGAACAAAACAACAGGAGTCTCCTCCTCAGCTCAGATCAGCCCCATGATGCAGGTATCTGGCTGGAACAGGTGAGAATCACATAATCAGTGGAGCAAACTGAGCTTTAAATATTTTGGTTTTATGCTCTTTTTCTGCTCCAAAACATGAAAGTTAACAGGTGAGATATTGCATTTTCATTTAAGATAAAATTATATTTTTATTTTGTTGTTGGCCCGTGAGAAAAGACTTAACCTACAGTAAAACAGGAAAGGCTGCAGATAGATGAATAGAATAGAAAATCCCTTTATTGTTCCTCAGTGGGGAAAGCTAGATGCCACAGCAGCGTTGACACTTATTATAAGAGAAAAAAATGAGAATAAACAACAAGAAAACATAAATCCTGAATAGATTTTAAAAATGCTGAACGTGCCACAAGTAATGAATACCACTGATGCGTTTTATTTAAAACTGACTTGCTCGTGTGTAATTTGGTTATTCCACTTTCAGTGTTAATGCAAAAATAAGTTTGTTTCCAAATTAAAAGGTTCAAAATTGCTTATATGTTGATGAAGAAAATGGTCATATTTGACGTTACTTTTTCAAAAAACATTAAGTTTGGCCCTCGACTCCGTCCCAGATTTTCATTTCGGCCCAGTATGAATTTGAGTTTGACATCTAGATCCTGAAGCACTAATCCAAAAACTGTAATCTGCCATTTTTCTAACCCAGAACAAGAACGTTTGTAAAGTCATAATCGGTGATTGATGGTAAATAAAACAAGTTTCACTAAAAGACATAATTAGAACATCAACAGAACCAGCTTCTGGCACTTTAAAAACTCAATAACTTCACTGGGGAAAGATGTGGAGCAGGAGGGTGGCGGAATCCGTCTGGACCAATCAGAAGGCAGGCTTCTGTTAACAGACAAGCCCCTCAGCCAATCAGAAGGCAGCGTTGTCTACGGTGGGTTTGGCTTGTTGCCAAAGTCTGGATAATGTCAAACCCAGCTGTTTTCTCTGGGTTTCTGGAGTCAGAGCTGAATGGAGGGAGGTTTTAGCCACCGTCCGCTCACACTTCGCTCCCGGACGGTGAATCAAACTTCCACAGTCGGGCTTTGGTTTCCTCCACTGCAGCGTTTGATGAGGTAACGTCTCAGAAATGTTATAATGTGATTCCCGGTCTTCGAGAGCGTTAGCTACAAGGAGCTCCCCGGGTGTGTTTATAAACTTTACTCCCCCAGCTCCTCCCGGCTCGTGCTGCTCGCTTCTCCGTATGGGTGTTGCGCGACCATGAGGACGGAGGAGCAGGAGCTCCGCGGCGGGAAGACAAAAGCCAGAGCGCTCGGTGAAGCGACGTCGGCGAGGAAAAGGGCCTCCTGAACGTCTGCTGCCTCCTTCTGACAAAACCCCACAAACACACGCGGCTGCGTTGGAGAAAGTTTCTAAAAGTTCAGCAGCGACGCTTTCACGCACGCACGCACACGCAGGCAGGCAGGCGCGCGCTCACCTGGACGTAAAGTTTCCTCCGCGCGGAAACTCTGATTTTATTGTTGCGGTCTGGGTGGATGTGTGAGGATGGTGGAGAGCCGGAGCTGCGTCCAAAGAGAGGGGGTCTACTGCTGGTTCTCCTGCCTCACCTCCGCCCAGAGAGTGGAGTTCCTGTGCGGCCTGCTGGACCTCTGCGTCCCTATCGAGCTCCGCTTCCTCGGGTCCTGCCTGGAGGACTTGGCCCGCAAGGACTATCACTCCTTGCGGGATGCGGAGATCAAAGCCAACAACCCCGCAGACCTGTCGGGTCTCACCAACATCACGGACGAGGTGGTCCGCAGCAAGTTGCTGGTGTCCCTGGCCCTGCTGGGTTCGGACAGCCGGGAGGCTGCGGGGGTCCTGTACCGGACCCTGACCCACATCCACACGGTGATCAACAACTACGGGTTGGCGTTAAACGACGGGAGGACGGAGGAGCAGTTCCTGCTGCTGTTCACCATGGCCGCCAACCACCCGGCCTTCAGCTTTCACCAGAAGCAGGTGCTGAGGCAGCAGCTGGGTCAGATCCAGGACATCCTCCAGGTGAACACGCGCACACACATTCTTGTATTTGTACCCATGTTAGGACTTAATAGGTACTTCCATTCATTTTAGTGTGTCCACTATGCCTTACCCTTACCCTAACCAGTGCATTCCCAAAGCTATCTGTCACAAAAACTCAATTCTCACACACACACACACACACACACACACACACACACACACACACACACACACACACACACACACAGGACAGTGTTAACCTCTTTGGTCAGATGACTCAAAACAACTCAAGTTTACAGATTTTGTCAAAGACGTTTTGTGTTCTAGATCAAAACTTCATCAGAAACCCTCAAAATCAAACGAATGTCTACTTTCTAAGATATCTGCTGCCCTGCATCCTCAGAAAAGTTGGATTGTAAAGTTTGATTTCACTTGGAGAGGAACTAAGCAGCTTCATAAAGTCATCCTTACAGCGAAGGACGTCACTGCAGGCTGGAAATGAAGGATTAGCCTCAAATGTGGAAAACTATAAACCGACTTTTAAAGAAAAATAATAATCTGTGCTTCACATCCGACAAAACATTTAAAAGATGTAAAATGTCTCCAGAAAATATAAAAAAAATAAGTTTACATCCTGTTGGAAAGCAAGTTTACTACTGAAATTTAAACAAATAATAAATAAATAAGTACATTTGGACAAAATCAGATGAAGGGTAACATTATTGCACAATATTACATCACATTGCTATGCAATTATGATTTTTGTCATGATTATACTTTATTATTATTATTATTATTATTTTAATTCATTTGCTACTGAAAAATGCAGCTACATTGTCTCAAGAGCTAACAATTATTGGTATAGGAGCATGAGATTGATAGGCAGATTGGTGCTGCGTCTGCAGTGATGCGGCGCTGTACCGATCTGTTGTGGTGAAGAGAGAGCTCAGCCGGATGGCAAAGCTCTCGATTTATCGGTCGATCTATGTCCCTATCCTCACTTATGGTCACGAGCTTTGGGTCACTTCCCGAAGGTCGAGATTGGGGATTCAAGCGGCCGAAATCTCCGCAGCGTGGCTGGGCCCTCCCTTAGAGATAGCGTGAGAAGCTTGGTCATCCGAGAGGGGCTCGGAGTAGACCAGCTGCTCTTCCACATCAAGAGCAGCCTGGTTATGTCCCTTCTGGACGCCTCCCTGGTGAGGTTTTACGGGCACGTCCAACCAGGAGAAGACCTAAAGGAAGACCCAGGACAAGCTGGCCAGGGAACGCCTTGGGATTTCCCGGGAGGAGCTGGCCCAAGTGGCTGGGAGAGGGAAGTCCGGGCCACCCTGCTTAGGCTGCTGCCCCATGGGCAACAGTGGTTGGATAATTATTGGTAATTGCCACAGCTGCTGCCGGTTCACTGAATCAACTTGATGTTAAGCAGTGTTAACAGACTAAATGTTCCCTCAACACCTAAATCTTTCACCTAAATCTTTCAAAGAAAAAAGTTGTAATAAAATCCGTTGTTCTCGTTTATTATTGTGCAGAATTATTTCAGCGTAAAATCTGGAGTAAACAAACTTAACTCGGGTCAAACTGATGGCTTCCTTTTAAACACAGTTCAGCATCTTTGGCTGCAGGCCTGCAGGTCCCTAATCCTGACCTCTGACTTCACAGGGTTAGCAGGCGTGGCACTTACTGTGGTGCTAAACCATGCAACCGCTTAGAACTCTGCACGTATGCTTTAATACAGTTTTGTTATTATTATTATTACTAGTAGTATTATTAAATACAAATAATCTAAAATAATCTTATCTGTGAAGAAGGAGCTGCTTTTTAAAATCTCACTCTGAAGTGAGTTTTTATTTTTTAGTCTGATTGAAAGAAAATAAAGAGTTGCTGCAGGTGAAACGTGAGTTTGTTCTCAGGGAAAGTTCACCAGTGACTTCTGCACCAAATTACAGGTGAGGTTTGGTCAATGGGGGGCAGCAGTAGCTCAATAGGTTGAGCGGGTTGTCCAGTGATCAGAAGGTTGCAGGTTCGATCCCGGCCCCGGACAGATAACTCTGCTGCTGTGTCCCTGGGCAAGACACTCAACCCACCTTGCCTGCTGGTGGTGGTCGGAGGGACCGGCAACGCCCCTGTCAGGGTGCCCCAGGGCTACAGTGTCGCTCATCACCACCAGGGTGTGAATGGGTGAATGACTGATTGTGTTGTAAAGCACCTTGGGGGGTTCCAGGACTCTAGCAGGCGCTATATCAAATACAAGCCATTTACCATTGTGAGAGGTTTTTTCTTCCTGCCACCAAACTACAACCAGGTTTCTCGGGTCCTTGAAAATGCTTGAAATTTGATCCAAAGTTTTGAAAGTGCTTCAATTTTAAATAAGCATCTTGAACATACATGAAACGACCTGAAACAGATTCTGTTTTTCGGTTTTTTATTTGTTTATTTGTAGTTTCTTCTGATTGCTTCAGTCCGTAATCGGAAGGTTGCAGGTTTGAGCCCCGCTCAGTCCGTCGCTGTCGTTGTGTCCTTGGGCAAGACACCTAACCCACCTTGCCTGCTGGTGGTGGTCGGAGGGACCGGTGTCGCCAGTGCTCGGCAGCCTCGCCTCCGTCAGTGCGCCCCAGGGCAGCTGTGGCTACATCGTAGCTCATCACCACCAGTGTGTGAATGTGTGTGTGTGAATGGATGAATGATACACTGTAGTGTAAAGCGCTTTGGAGTCCTTACTCTGAGAGGCGCTATACAAGCGCGGCTCATTTATCATTTATCAATGACGGGCTGCTTTTGAGTGTAACAGACCTCCGTAACCTGGTAAATTTTGTTTATGTTTATGTTTTTAGCAGACGCTTTTGTCCAAAGCGACTTACAAGTGACAATCGGCATGTTGCCCTTGAGGCTAACAACAACAACAACAATAACAACAACAACTTGACATCAGTCATGGAGAGGAGGGAACAAGGAGTGGACAGTAAGAGAGGGGGGACGGGTGCAGGTGTAAATACACAGTTGCAGGCAAAAGCGGCAGGCAGCTTGGCTTAGATGAACCCTTTTAAAGCTTGTGGCTTCAGTATTGGATTGAACAAAGACCATTTTAAAAATATGAATCATTTAAAAAGTCTAAATCTGTAAATGTTATATTCACGGGTTAAAAGGTCACGAGTTGTTTTCTGCTGGAGTTTTACACGTTTCAGCTGTAGGGGATATTTCAGCGAGCGTCTTTGAATGCAGCTCATAGACGACTTTAAAGTCCAACAGCTTCAAGGAAATTATTCTGAGACGTGTGATCACGTCAAAAGCTGTGGATCAATAAAATGGGGAGTGTAGCTTTTATTGTTTTAGGATGCTGTAAAAAGTTAGCCTAGTGAACCAGACTATGGCTCACTAGGCTAGTGAACTAGGCTAGGCTTAGTCTGGCTTAGTAAAAATGTGCATTAAGAGAGAAATACCTGCTGGTGACTCTGAAGGTATTTTAAGACTTTGAAATGAAGTAAATTTCCAATAAAGCAAACAGATTATTGTTTATAAGTGACAGACGTGTTTAAATATGTGCAACTTTATAAGTTCTGCTAAGAAAATAACATCCAGAGTCTGATGTTTTTCTTTTGACTTGAGAAGTTACCTGTAACAAAGTTAGTATCGACATAAAACTGTTTCAGGCATGTTTACAGGTGTCTTTGTCTTCTTCCTCATACTGATAGTTTTTATCCTCAGGCAAACGGAGCAGCAGGAGGAGGAGGAGGAGGAGGTGAAGCAGCAGCGGCTCCCAGCAGAGATCAAGTCCCTCAACCTCCTCACTATCACCACCAGGACACGTCCACGCCTCCGCCCTCACCGCTCCCCGCAGCCTTCTCCTCGCCCAACGCCACCAGCACCACCTACCTGCCTCCACCTCCTCATCAGCCCAGCGACATGCCCTACGCCTGCTTTCAAAAGGTAGAAAACAAACAGAAGTTCAATGAGAGTGAAGCTTCTAAAACAGATGCTGGAAGTGATTTAATCACAAAAGGGGTTAAGCCTCTGATTAAACGTGAAAGACTACATTTAAGAGAATTTCTTTTATAATTTAAAGGTGCAATATGTAAGATAGAAGGATGAATGACATCTTGTGGTCAAATTTGGATACTGCAGTTCATTTTTCTAGCAAAGAAGGTAATTTTCTCAATACCGTTCCGTGGGTTTCGTGGCTGTTGCCAGTTACGGTTCAGCACCAGAACATTATAGATTACAAGCAAAGATGAGTCATACACAGTAAGCTGATAAGTAAATAAATGCATAGCCATATCTGATGCTAGCACTCTTGGGTGTTTTGTGGTAGAGGGTAGTACGCTAGGGGAGTTTGCCATCTTGTTGTTATAATTCTAAACGACTCATTAGAGGAAGTTTCTCTCATTATTCACTTCATAGTTATTTCGCTGTGATATTGAGTTGTTGGTGATTGAAAAAGTATTTTTTAGAGTTAACTAGCTGCTTCAAGTTCAGTGTTAGCATAGTTAGCTCAACGCTAGACTCTAGCCTGATAGAGTAAAACAAAAAGGTGATGTTAATGGTATTTTTAAAACAAGAGTGACGGGAAATTTTATCTTGTGACTTCTGGCTGCGAGCAAATGCACCCTCCTCAGAGCGCGTCCAAATTTAGCAGCGACGAATTAGAAAGAAAACCCAGTAGCCTTTAATCGGAACAAAAACATTTCAAATAAAGTACCACAATGGTGGGCACCGCAGGGAAACTAAGATGAGGCTTCCTTTTAGCACTTTGCTTGTGTTTATGGGGCCGTTTATACGTGACTGTAACAAGCAACAAATACGAAATTAAACAAAAATCTGAATTTCTCTCCCAGCAAACACTGGTGGCTTGGAGGCACGGCTGCCTTTCATAAACACACAGCAGTGATCAGGCTCAGAGTGTGTCGCATCTAAAACGGTCCGGGTGGAAACATACTCTTGATTTTATCATTCCTGATAAAAAGGCTTCCGACGATTCTACGATCTCTCCTTCGGCTGCTCGTCAACGTCTTTATGATTGAAAATGTTTCTGTAAATTAAAAATGAATCTTATCAGGCTGAAGAAGGAGGCCTACAGGGCGTGGCTGGTCTGTGGGTCTCCGGAGGCAGCAGACAGGTACCGGATAGCCAAGCGGGGTGCAGCAGTGGCAGTTGCCGAGGCAAAATCTCGGGCGTGGGAGGAGTTTGGTGAAGCCATGGAGAAAGACTATCGGTCGGCTCCAAAGAGGTTCTGGCAAACTGTCCGGCGCCTCAGGAGAGGAAGGCAGCAACTCGCTCACACTGTTTACAGTGGGGATGGGGAGCTGCTGACGTCAACTGGGGCTATAGTCGGACAGTGGAAGGAATACTTTGAGGAGCTCCTCAATCCCACCTATGCGCATTCCGAGGAGGAACCAGAGCCGGGAGACCTGGGGATGGACTGTCCAATCTCGGGGGCAGAAGTTGCTGAGGTAGTCAACTACACAGCGGCGGAGCCCCGGGGGCGGATGAGATTCGTCCTGGGTATCTCAAGGCTATGGATATTGTAGGGCTGTCTTAGCTGACATGTCTCTGCAACATTTAGTGGTCATCGGGGGCAGTTCCTGTGGAGTGGCAGACTGGGGTGGTGGTCCCCATCTTTAAGAAGGGTGACCTGAGGGTGTGTTCCAGCTATAGGGGGATCACACTCCTCAGCCTCCCTGGAAAGGTCTACTCCAAAGTAGTGGAGAGGAGGGTCCGATCGATAGTTGAATCTCAGTTTGAGGAGGAGCAATGTGGTTTTCGTCCTGGCCGTGGAACTGTGGACCTATACACTTGCAAGGGTGATGGAGGGGGCATGGGAGTTTGCCCAACCATTCCACATGTGTTTTGTGGATTTGGAGAAGGCTTATGACCGTGTCCCCAGGGGCACCCTGTGAGGGACGCTCCAGGAGTATGGGGTGGGTGGCTTTCTGTTAAGGGCCATTCAGTCCCTTTACCAGAGGAGCGTGAGTTTGGTCCGCATAGCCGGTAGTATAATTTGGACCTGTTCCCGGTGAGGGTTGGACTCCGCCAGGGCTGCCCTTTGACACCGGTTCTGTTCATAACCTTTATGGACAGAATTTCTAGGCGCAGCCGTGGTGTGGAGTGTGTCGAGTTTGGTGGAAGGAGAATCTCGTCTCTGCTTTTTGCGGATGATGTCGTCCTCCTAGCTTCATCCAGCTCTGACCTTCAGCTCTTGCTGGGTAGGTTCGCGGCCGAGTGTGAAGCGGCTGAGATGAGCGTCAGCACCTCCAAATCTGAGACCATGGTTCTCGGCCGGAAAAGGGTGGCTTGCCACCTCCGGGTCGGGAAAGAGGTCCTACCTCAAGTGGAGGAGTTTAAGTTTCTCGGGATGTTGTTCAAGAGTGAGGGTAGGAGGGATCGGGAGATCGACAGGCGGATCGGTTCAGCGTCTGCAGTGATGCGGACGCTGAACCGATCTGTCGTGGTGAAGAGGGAGCTGAGCCAGAAAGCCAGGCTCTCGATTTACCGGTCGATCTACGTCCCAATCCTCACCTATGGTCATGAGCTTTGGGTAATGACCGAAAGAACGAGATCGCGGATACAAGCGGCCGAAATGAATTTCCTCCGTAGGGTGGCCGGGCTCAGCCTTAGAGATAGGGTGAGGAGCTCGGACATTCGGGAGGGACTCGGAGTAGAACCGCTGCTCCTCCGGATCGAAAGGAGTCGGTTGAGGTGGTTTGGGCATCTGGTCAAGATGCCTCCTGGACACCTCCCTGGGGAGGTGTTTCGGGCATGTCCTGCTGGCAGGAGGCTCCCGGGTCGACCCAGGACACGTTGGAGAGGTTACATCTCCAATCTGGTCCGGGAACGCCTTGGGGTCCTGCCGGAGGAGCTGGTGGAGGTGGCTGGGGAGAGGAGGGTCTGGAGCTCCCTAGTTGGGATGCTGCCCCCGCGACCCGGGTAAGCGGAGGAAGACGACGACGACGACGAAAAATGAATCTAAGCTGGTGTTGGTGCAGCATTTTCAGCCGGGATGAAGGGAGGAAAAAATAGGAATTGCAGCGGGATCAAAGGAGGGGATTTCCAGTCGATGCAGGAAGCCAAGAGGCTCATTAACCCGTTTGATCCTCCTGCAGAGGGTCACAGGAGAGGAAATGGGGAAAAATAACAAAGACTGACAAAAATAAAAGTTTTAGGATGGACACAAACGAGTTTAAAACTCCACTTGGTTTTCAGTGAGAGCAGACTTTAAAGTGTGAGCAGCGAAGGGAAAGTACCGGCTCAGAGGAGCGTTTGTGTTTTGTTGCCCTTGGCTCCTGTTAGTGCAGGTCAGCACATTTCTCTATGCTGAAATCAACTGTGTGTGTGTGTGTGTGTGTGTGTGTGTGTGTGTGTGTGTGTGTGTGTGTGTGTGTGTGTGTGTGTGTGTGTGTGTGTGTGTGTGTGTGTGTGTGTGTGTGTGTGTGTGTGTGTGTGTGTGTGTGTGTGTGTGTGTGTGTCTCTCCCCCCCCCCCCAGTGAATCCCCTGGAAGTTATGAGTGCTCTCTCTTTAGCTGTCTTTCCTTCTCTCTCTGAAGTCGGCAACAAGGTTTTGTTTAAAGCCAGAAAAGTCACAAATTGCTCCGGGGGTGGATGAGATCCGCCCGGAGTTCCTTAAGGCTCTGGATGTTGTGGGGCTGTGTTGGCTGACGCGGCTCTGCAATATCGCGTGGACATCGGGGGCAGTCCCACTGGACTGGCAGACCGGGGTGGTGGTCCCCTTATTTAAAAAGGGGGACCGCAGGGTGTGTTCCAACTACAGAGGGATCACACTCCTGAGCCTTCCTGGTACGGTCTATTCAAGGGTTCTGGAGAGGAGGGTCCGTCGGATTGTTGAACCTCAGCTTCAGGAGGAGCAATGTGGTTTTCGTCCTGGCCGTGGAACACTGGACCAGCTCTATACCCTTAGGGGGGTCCTGGAGGGTGCGTCGGAATTTGCCCAACCAGTCTACATGTGTTTTGTGGATTTGGAGAAGGCATTTGACCGCGTCCCTCGGGGGGCCCTGTGGGGGTACTCCGGGAGTATGGGGTAACAGGCCCTCTGATATGGGCTGTTGGGTCCCTGTATGACCGGTGTCAGAGCTTGGTCCGCATTGCCAGCAGTAAGTCGGGCTCCTTTCCAGTGAGAGTTGGACTCCGCCAAGGCTGCCCTTTATCACCGATTCTGTTCATAACCTTTATGGACAGGATTTCTAGGCGCAGCCAAGGTGTGGAGGGCATCCGTTTTGGTGGCCTGAGGATCAGGTCTCTGCTTTTTGCAGATGATGTGGTCCTGTTGGCTTCATCAGAACGTGATCTTCAGCTTTTGCTGGAGCGGTTCGCAGCCGAGTGTGAAGCAGCTGGGATGAGAATCAGCTCCTCTAAATCTAAGACCATGGTCTTGATTCAGAAAAGGGTAGAATGCCTTCTCCGGGTCAGGGATGAGGTCCTGCCCCAAGTGGAGGAGTTTAAGTATCTCAGGGTCTTGTTCACGAGTGAGGGAAACATGGAGCGTGAGATCGATAGGCAGATTGGTGCTGCATCTGCAGTGATGCGGGCGTTGTACCAATCTGTCGTAGTGAAGAGAGAGCTGAGTCAGAAGGCGAAGCTCTCGATTTACCGGTCGATCTACGTTCCTACCCTCACCTATGGTCACGAGCTTTGGGTAATGACCGAAAGAACGAGATCGCGGATACAAGCGGCTGAAATGAGTTTTCTCCAAAAAGTGGCTGGGCTCTCCCTTAGAGATAGGGTGAGAAGCTCGGTCATTCAGGAGCGGCTCGGAGTAGACCCGCTGCTCCTCCACATCGAGAGGAGCCAGTTGAGGTGGCTCGGGCATCTGGTCAGGATGCCTCCTGGACGCCTCCCTGGTGAAGTTTTCCGGGCACGTCCAACCGGGAGGAGACCTAAAGGTAGACCCAGGACACGCTGGAGGGACTATAGCCCCATTCCCACCTGTATCGGGTCGGGCCGGGTAGCGTAGGTTGTTTACATATCTGGGTGGCCTGGAATTTTCCCGGGCCAACCAAGGCTCATTCTCAGCCCTCTTCTCGAGGGGGTCTGCTTCAGGCCGACCAGGGCCAACACACCCACTGCTGACAGCAAATTCACACCTTCCATTAGAGCAAGCCTCTGATTGGTGGGTAGAATCAGCCCACATGGGCTTAAGGCATGCTCAATTCATTATCATTCATTATCATGCTGATTACCCAGAAGCTGAAAGTGTCTCTGACTGCATTCCTTGCATACCTAAGCAAGGATGTGTGGAATCAACCGGGCCAGGCTGGGGCCGACTGGGGCTACCCGGCCTGGGCCGACCCGGTACAGATGGGAATGGCCCATATGTCTCTCACCTGGTCAGGGAACGCCTTGGGATTCCCCCGGAGGAGCTGGCCCAAGTGGCTGGGGAGAGGGAAGTCTGGGCCTCCCGCCTTAGGCTACTGTCCCCGTGACCCGACTCCCGATAAGTGGATGAAAATGGATGGATGGATATTATTGTTATTATTGGAAATGCATCACAGCTTTCATGGATGAATGTAATTAAAGAGCAAGTCACCCCCTACAAGAAACTTACTTCACTTCCACTTCATGTTTGAAAAATGCTACAAGTGCTGTTACCTGGCAGACCGAGAGGGCGGAGTCGCTAACACACACACACACACACACACACACACACACACACACACACACACACACACACACACACACACACACACACACACACACACACACACACACACACACACACACAGGCTCACAACGGCATTGTGACATCATATGGTACCAGCTAACGTTCTAGGGTACCTCTTAGCCAATAGCGGTGGCAGCTTTAAATTCAAATGCAGTGCAGAGTTTTTACCTGACAATGGCGCAACACTGACAGTTTCAGGCAGAAAGTTAAAATTTTAACCTAAATGCACTAAAGTGCAAAACTATTGATCACATGTGTCTGCAGCACGATTAGACAGATTTGGGGGTGACTTGCTCTTTAATCTGTATGGCAGTAAAACAACCCCTAAATCATTTGGCTTCTTCACGTATAAAAGTGTCATTATAAGCATCATTAGGACCCAAAAACTGTATTTTTGTGCTCGACTCTCACTGTTTGGCTCCAGATTCATGTTGTGGATCTGAACTTTATTTAACACAAAGCAGCTGTGACTCAACCAGAAATATCCAGCAACGATTCAGCGGTTTAAAGAGCACATGTGAGATATTACTGCACAGTTGGGCCTGCAGAAACTTGCATAATCGCCTCATTATGTTTGTTTTTTAAGCCTATAAAATGAAAAGCAGCATCGGGATGACGGCAAACTTCAGGAGGAGCTGCTGTCCACTTGACTGCTTGGCTTTTGTCATCTAGAGAATATCTTAAGCCTTTCAGCCCAGCCGTCTGCAGCCCGTTTGGGCGGATGTGGCAGCAGCAGCAGCACACTTAATTGTTTTCAGATCTGCTGTCTGCTTGATTCGTGTGTTTTAGCACATCCTTAATGTGTACCAGCGCATCTGTCATGCTTCCAGAGTTGTCATTTCGTTTTAATGTTTTAATGGTTTTCCTGAAAGACTTAAAGGGACTTTACGGACTTTTGAATTTTTATGCTCGTGATTGCCCCCTCAGGCCAAAAGCGTAACGGCAGCTTCAATAGTAGGCTCGTGCACAAGACGCGCATGCTGTACGTGCACACTCCTTAAGGAAAATAACAGCTGTGTGTGTGTGTGTGTGTGTGTGTGTGTGTGTGTGTGTGTGTGTGTGTGTGTGTGTGTGTGTGTGTGTGTGTGTGTGTGTGTGTGTGTGTGTGTGTGTGTGTGTGTGTGTGTGTGTGTGTGTGTGTGTGTTGGAGGACAGGAGAACGCGCTGCTTATTAAATAATTTGGTTCTGTACCTTTCTCTTCAGCACAGCCGACAAAGGTTTATGATGGGTCAGTCCTCCTGCATGCTCAGATCATTCCCTTCCCTTGCTTGAAAAATTGTTCCAAAATGAAAGTTGAACTCACATCTTTTTTATCTGTGAATTCAATGCCGTTCGGCGAGTCTCAAATAAAAATTTGGGCATCTTACTGTAAAAAATATACCATTAATGTAAAAAATAAACTCTAAATAAACTATGTTCACATCCAGAATCAAACCCAGGTCTTCTGCATGAGAGTCCGACGTCTTACTAGGTGAGCTAAAGCACCAGTGACATCCTTTGTATCTGTAACATTTATATCCTTGATGACAGCTGAAACAACGTTCAAAGAACGGTTCGGAGCAAAAAAGGCTATTTTGTTGCTAATTAGCAGGAAATTTCTAGAAGAAAGTTCTACAGAAAGTAGCTAAGGGTCCTCAGAAATGTAGCTAGCTTTGTCACTAGGCGTTAGGAACAGCGACAAAGTGGCACTGCCTCTCTCTCTGCTGCTAAAGCTACGGATAGCAAATGCTACGGGCGATGCCTGAGCGTGAACGCGCGTGAAGCAGCCTGCTCGACCCGAGCATCTCTCTTTTTCTGTGATTTTACAGAAAAACAGGCAATCACAGTAAAAATGCCAGGGCTCATTCTACAGGACCAGGGCATTGCAGGAGAATGTATGAAGAAGACATTTATTATTTCTATACATGTTTTGGCTGTCAGACTTCCATAATGTCCCTCTAACTGCCTTTAACCCTTTAACACCCACACCAAGTAAAAAGTTTTTTTTAACCTATTTTGGCCAATCCTAGCTTTGATACAATCTACATTTAGTCTGATAACAAAGCTTTTATATAAATATTAAAATAATTCAGACGTCTCTATAATAATTTCTTTTTTATTTTAGTGTTTTGTTTTTTGTTGGAGCACCTTTCAGGTAGGCTGGCCCGCCAGACTCCTCCTCTGTTTAATTCTTTCTCTGTGCAGAATTAAATGGAGGATGAGTCTGGCGGGCCAGGCTACCCGCCTTTCAGTTGGATAAAGTGTACTTTCCTGAGCGCCGCTTGATGGTTGTTGATTTTAGTGCATTTAATACACTTCCTGGACAAAAACCAGTCTCCACCTGTATGCAGCTAAGCAGCCAGGTAAGAGCCTCCTATTGGATAATTACTGCAGGGCAATTTTCTTTCAGCTGCAACAAGATATTTAACCCAACTGATGCATTTCTTAAACAATCATGTGGAAAAGACATACCCACCCATCATGCCTAATGCCTTCTCTACACGCCTGTGGTGGCAGTGCCATGATCTGGGGTTGGTGTAGTGGGTCAGGTCTAGGTTCATGTGCTGATCGCCAGTCTGTAAAATGTGCTCCTGACCTTTCACCCTTTCTCTCCAGAATCAGAGCAGGGAGGTCTCAGCTGGTTCAGAGCCTGGTTCTGGACTTGCTCCAGGACCGGAAGACCACGCGGTCCCTCGCGAGCTCCTCTCTCCTCAGCCAGACTTTCGTTCTCCACCTCCCACACCAACCCGCCTGCCTCCATCGCTGCCTGCTGGGTCGAGTCAGGATGCACCGGTGAAGGGGAGAACGGGTAAAGGTGAGCAGCCCTGGAGGAAACGAGATGCAGCACGCTGGAAACCACAGATGAGCTGAAAGAATGCTGCCCTCGGGCGTCAGTGTGGAGCTGCATTCTAGTGTGTTCAAAACGTTACAGTCGACGCAACTCCTACAGATCTGAGTGAAACGAGGAACGTGAAAACAAAGTTTTAGGTTAAAACGGGAGCTGGAGCATTCAGGCGAGTAAAGTTTCTGTTTCATGGGTGCAAGACCAACAAATACTGATGAGGACGCACAGTCCGAGTAAAAGTCTGAATCGTCTCGCTGCTGAGCACGACCATTCCTGTGTTTGCGTTTGGAAAACCTCCACAGCTGCTGCTTCCCAGCTGGGTTCTGGAGGATGTTCAGCCCGTTGTCCCCGACTCGGCCGGCCGCGAGTCCGTGCACGCCCGATCTTCAGCTGAATGGAGCCGTGTAGATCCACCTGTCTGAACGCACGCCCACCCGTTTGTTTTCCACCTTTTCAGATCAAATATTCCTTCAGCGGGCGACACCGATGTAGCTGAGGTGGAGGAGCAGAACGTGTGCGTCAGCGTTTCTTCACACGTCAGCAAATGAAATGACCTGGTGAACAACGTCACGGCGGTGATGCTGCTGATGATAAAACTCATGAAGGCTTGTTTGGGTCCTGTTTTTGGGCCAGTCCTCCCTAAACGTGATGATCACAACTGCTTCTAGTGGCGTGCAGCTCCAACTCTCATCTCTCCGTTTAAAACGTGAAGTCTCCCGAGTCGCATGCATTCTTTCATGAATCGACTTTAGTTTCAAATATTTTAGGCCCGTTTCTTATAATTTTATGTGTTTCAGCTCTGGCGTGCAGAAATAAGCATCTACTATAAAAAAAAGCAGCAGAGGTGATGATGTTTTTGGGATTTGGGGTTTATATTTTGCTGTGTTTACCCACGATGAGGACACCTCTCAAACACTGACCTTTGACCTTCCTGTGCACTCAGCCGTAGTCTTTTAAACCCGTTTATCTGGTGTGAGAGGGAGTTTAAATCCCCTCACCGGCCCAAAAGCAGCTGTTTTAAAGACGTCCTGTTTGCTTCTTTCAGCTGCGATCGAGCGGGTGCTGCTGAGGCGAGTGACGCACACGTCTGAGGATGCCAACGAATACGTGTTCGAGGTTGGTTTGGCACGTTTGCGTTTTCCTTCAGGTTCGGCCTCTGAAAACCTTTCTTCTCTCTCTCAGGTGAGCTGGTCCGATGGGTTTGTGTCACCGTTCATCAAAACGCAGCAGGAGGTGGCCGAGCTGATGTCTCAGGTAAAAACTTCGGGTCCGGTTGTTTTCTGCCTGAAACATCGGATCGGGATCGCCCTTACCGTTGTCTGTCGTTTCTCTGTAAGCTGTCTCGAGCGTTTCCTGATGACGGACTGGAGGAGCTCCTCCCTCCACCTTCAGAGGTCAACCCCAGGTTAGTCCCTCTTGGCTCAAAGGTCATCTCTGTGTTCCAGTGTAATTGGCTTCCTGCTGTTTGTCTTTTTAATCCCAGTTTTTCTGTTTTTATTTGTTTTGTTCCCTGGCTGCCCTGTCTGTCTCTCTGCTCAGGTGTCTCACAGCCCTGCCCTGCCACGTCCTCCAACACCCCACCGTCCAGCTGTTCTTCCCCCCTGACAGGCCTCTGTCTCCCAACTGTCCCTCGTCTCCCCCGTCTTCCCTTCCCAGCTCTTCCATTGTCCCAGCTTGTTCTTTCACTTCCAGCTCCAGTAAGTGGTTTGCTTTGTAGGGATTTATGTCATTTTTCTCTGGGAACCAGTGAGACTTCATGATTTAAAAGGCGGATCTGCTCGGAGATGCCAGGGAGGGACGTGTAAATATTTGGGGCTCGTGTTGAGGCGTTTGTGATGAGACGGAGACGAGGAGGTAAGGGGAAGGAGACGAAAGACGAGCTGAGCTGAGGCTGCAGGCAGGATTTTCACTCTGATTTCTGAGGTGCAGGAGGGAGCCGACCAGGTCTATTTTAGTCCGGTGTGGGAATTTGGTGTGGCATGTTTGCGTTGGGAAGCCTAGAGTGAGGTGACCTCATGTGTGTGGGTGTGTGTGCTTGATCTGAGAGTGTGACTTCATCTCGGTGTGTATTTATAGCCACAGCTTCAGCGTGTCTCTGTGCGAGTTTTTATTTGTTGTTTATTCCTCTGAACGGGATCCAAGCTCTCAGGAGCCGCAGTGAGAAAGCGTCCTGCTCTGCTAAAATGTGCGTCTGAAAACACTCCCCTCACCACAACGTGGGACGGACCGCTCTGCCTTTACCAAACCGGGACTGTGATACGGATCATTTTACCCTGAACACAGGCAGGTCGCTGTGGGCGAGCTTTGGCGAGAAAGGATTTCATTTTTAAATGTTCTTATGAAGAGTTTGGAGAACCTACCTGCAGCAGGTTTTCATCCTGCAGCCTGTTTTTATTAGAGTGCGATATTAAAGAGACTACGTGTGTTTTACCTTTAAACTCTGGAAATATCCATCAAAATGTGGTTGGGAATGAATGAAATGCCATCCAGTCACAACATATAGCCATGAAAATTGGGTCTACACAGGGTGGGGGTCTAGCGTCTTTGGGGGACACCATATGCCAGGCGATGTCTTACGAGGTCCTTCCTTGGTCGAAGAAAACAGTTAAATGGAACAGACTTGCATCACGTGACCGCGGCTTCCACGGCGGTCACGTGACGTCACGTGACACGGGAGACAACGTTATATTTTATACGTATTAGTTTCATTATAAATAAATAACGAGCCTTTTCCTTTTTAAATTGTGTAAATGTTTATTAAATTAAATATGTAAGCGAGTTACTACCCGCTAGCCACCGAAGCTGCAACTGCTAAACAACTAACCAACAATAGATAACTTCTTTGGATCTAAAAAAAAAAACTTTGTTAGCTGACTTACTTTTAAACTTGAAATTAGTCCCTGAAGTAGCTGCCAGCTTCTGATCCGCCGTCCTTTTGAAAATACCGCGGTGCATTCTGGGTAATTTTTGACCAAGGCTAGGCTACAAGACACCTCCCGTGTATCCTCGCTCAGCTAGCTAAACGGCTAACAAACGGAGAACACGCCTCGGTAGAACATGAACATTGGAACACGTCTTGGCGGCTCCCGATGACGTATCTCCTAGGCAACCGGGGCGGGGCCAAGACATCAAGACAAGGTTCCTTGGCATTGAGAAACACCCGTGTTTCCATCTGGATGGCTCGGGGTCCAGCGCCTGTTGATGACATCACACTAGAAGATTGGCTGGATGTACGACTTGCAGAGGTTACGTTACCACGTTCAAAATCAATTGGGTAGTACGAAACATGAATTTAGGGAGTCCGTTGATGAGGTCCTGCCCCAAGTGGAGTTTAAGTATCTCGGGGTCTTGTTCACGAGTGAAGGAAAACTGGAGCGTGAGATCGATAGGTGGATTGGTGCTGCGTCTGCAGTGATGCGGGCGTTGTACTGGTCTGTCGTGGTGAAGAGAGAGCTGAGCCAGAAGGTGAAGCTCTCAATTTACCGGTTGATCTACGTTCCTACCCTCACCTATGGTCACGAGCTTTGGGTAGTGACCGAAAGAACGAGATCGCGGATACAAGCGGCCGAAATGAGTTTTCTCCGAAGAGTGGCTGGGCTCTCCCTTAGAGATAGGGTGAGAAGCTCAGTCATTCAGGAGGAGCTCGGCGTAGATCCGCTGCTCCTCCACACTGAGAGAAGCCAGTTGAGGTGGCTCGGGCTTCTGGTCAGGATGCCTCCTGGATGCCTCCCTGGTGAGGTTTTCCGGGCACGTCCAACTGGGAGGAGACTCACAGGTAGATCCAGGACACGGTGGAGGGACTATGTCTCTCACCTGGCCAGGGAACGCCTTGGGATTCCCCCGGAGGAGCTGACCCAAGTGGCTGGGGAGAGGGAAGTCTGGGCCTCTCGCCTTCGGCTCCTGCCCCCGCGACCCGACTCCGGATAAGCGGATGAAAATGGATGGATGGATGGGTGGAAACATGAATTTTATTACAAAACTGCTAAACGCTTTCCAAAACATATGTGAATGGTCTTGCCGTAGCATGATGATGACATCAGCAGGCGCAGGACCCCGAGCAGATCCAGAAACCACAATCATTTTCTTGATGGAATTAGCTGAAGAACCATCAAAGTCTGAGGAGTCACGCCGAGGTTGCATTCTGACAGTCGCGGTGATGTAAAACTACTCAGAAATGTGTGTTCTGCCCCCTAGCTGCTGATAACTACACGCTGCCATTTTAAATATGTGTCTGAGTGAAATGGTTAAAAGTTCATTTGAACAGTTTATTTCAGTTTGTGTAGCAACTTTTATTTGCTTGAGTTCAGCTAAAAGGACCCCGAATGCCCCCTAGTGGTCGGTTCCAGTAGACCTTTTTAATTCCCGCCCCCTACGTCGTGATATTGTGCTTATTAAGAAGAAAAAAATTTTCTGACATTTTATGTTGATTCATGTTTTCTTTTTATTTAAATTGTTTATTTTTATTTGTGAGCAGGCGAGACTTTCAGCACCACATCCCAAGCTTAGTCCTTTAGTAAAAACTCAACATGGCGGCGCCTGTAAATGGGTTATTTTAGCTTCGCTTGTGAGCAGCAGAAGTGAACGAAGATGCATGATCTATTGGGATTTCTGTGTTTATGGTGCAGGGTGACTGCATCGTCACATTCATGTGTTCATCAACCTTATTGATTCTTGTGGTCAGGAGTAAAACTTTGTGAATGAACACAAGCTGTGTTGCTGCTGAGCTGTTAGCGTGTTGTAATCAGTCTGGTTTTAACCCGATGAGGATTTTATTCTTGTCCTTCAGATCTTGGCTGCATGCTGCAGAACAGAGGAGAAAACAGGTAACAGCTAAATTTCCCTCTAGGCTTATTAAAGTAGTGTTTAATCACATCCTTTCACTTTTTTAAAACAGAAAACTGCAAACTTTGATGATGATGATGATAGCTAGCCTAACGTTATTTCCACTTAAGGAATGAAAAAATAACCCTTTCCTCGCTCACAGACTCACTCGACCCGCATCAGTTTCACCTTTTGATGCTTCTGTTCAAACACCCTTAATTTTCCAGTTGTGTTGCCATGGCGATGATGATAATTTCCTCTTTTTCCTCCTCTCTCAGGGCGGTGTACAGAGTGGCCAGCGTCCAGCCTGTCGTCAGCACCAACAGCTCTGTGTTCACTCGCTCTACTCCTCACCTCTCCTCCCTCCTTCCTCCACCTCTTCCTCCTCCTTCCCAGCCTCTCTCCATGTCCATGAGGAGCTCTGACTCCTCCTCCCCGCTGCACCATGGTCAGCCTCACTCCTACCCTCAGTCCCCCCAGCACTCCCAGCATCTCTCACTGTCGCCCAGTACGCAGCTGCCGTTCCTCCCCCAGTCCCATTCCCAACTCCGCTCCCAGTCCCAGCCAGCATCACCGACACAGTCTCTGCCCAACACTGCGGAGCAGAACGGCATCCTGGACTGGCTGCGCAGACTTCGGCTTCATAAGTATTACCCCGTCTTCAAGCAGCTCACCATGGAGAAGGTGGGTCCAGTTTAGTGAGGAACCACATTTTAGTTCAGAGTTTTAAACTGAAATTCGCTCATTTTGGTATAAAAAAAAAGAACTAAATTATTCATTTTCATTAAACTGTTATTATTCACCACTAAAGCCCCCAGAAAAGACTTTTTTTCACCAGTTTTCAAGCCTGTTCTTTCTGCGTGATTCAGTTTTTAGCGCTGACGGAGGAGGACCTGAACAAGTACGACCTGACCCAGGGAGCAAAGAAGAAACTCAAGACTCAACTAGAGCTCCAGAAATCAGCAGAGTGAGTCCAGAAAACCTGTAACCCTAAAACCAGCTGAGGAGCATCACCAGAACATCTGGTCCGTCTCACGATTCTTAGCAGAAACGAGCTCAAATCTCAGCCTGCACATAAATCGACTAAATTCCCACAGTTTAGTGTCACAGTTCAGCGGCACTTCAAGATTACTTAATCTCTAAGAAGTCATTGGGTTCATTTGGAGACGGATTTGCTTAATTTCCTTAAAGAACAACCGTTTGGGTAAAGCTTTCCTAATGAGGCGGACAGATCTGATTAGTGATGATAAACCGGCTCTAACCGGCTGTGAGTCGTCAATGGTTAACCGGCTGATGGTCGGTGGGGGAGATAAGATGTCCTCCAGCTGCAAAATGTGGGGAAACAAAAAGAACAGAGATGCAGGAAAATACAGCCACACACACACACACACACACACACACACACACACACACACACACACACACACACACACACACACACACACACGCACGCGCACGCACACAATGACGGTGAACTAGTGGGTGAATAGTGTCTCCCCCTGGTGGGCAAAAAGGATATTTACAACAGGTGTCCCAAACTTTCCAACGGGCCATTCCCATCTGTACCAGGTCGGCCCAGGCCGGGTAGCTCCAGTCGGCCCCAGCCTGGCCCGGTTGTTTCCACACATCCTTGCTTAGGTATGCAAGGAATGCAGTCAGAGACACTTTCAGCTTCTGGGTAATCAGCATGAAAATGAATGGTAATGAATTGAGCATGCCTTAAGCCCATGTGGGCTGATTCTACCCACCAATCAGAGGCTTGCTCTAATGGAAGGTGTGAATTTGCTGTCAGCAGTGGGTGTGTTGGCCCTGGTCGGCCTGAAGCAGACCCCCTCGAGAAGAGGGCTGAGAATGAGCCTTGGTTGGCCCGGAAAAATACCAGGCCACCCAGATATGTAAACAACCTACGCTACCCGGCCCGGGCCGACCCGGTACAGATGGGAATGGGGCTCAAGAGGGCCACAACTGTTGAGTTAAAAGTTCTTGTGGAACCACAACAACATTTTTTACTAAATATTGTAAAAATATATATATATTTTATGGTGTGATTTTTCAAAAACAGACCTATATTAATCATACTAAAAAAAACTATATTATAAAATTCTCAAACACCCTAAACAAAACACCACTAGTCTGAGGGCCTCGCAGAATTCATACCAGGGTCACAAGTGGCCCCTGAGCCACGCTTTGGTTGTGCCTGATGTAGAGCTTTTTTATTTAAATGTTGAAGCTTGACCTAAAGATCAGCTGGTGTTTTGTTTCTGGAAATAAACATCAAACATGTTTGTTTTTGGTGCTTTTTCAGCAGAGAGATGAAGATGGAGAAGCATCCCTGCAGCAGCGTCGCCAGGGTGATGCCCTCCAGTTACATGGGCCCCCCTGCTAACCCCCTCTCTGCCATCGGTAAGTTTGTATAAATGTCTCGGAGTGTGGATTTCTGTCTAGGTTGTCATGGTTGCCTGTGACATGCCGTCCATTCAGTCTCCTCTGCTTATCGGGTCGGGTCGCAGGGGCAGCAGCCTTAGCAGGGAGGCCCAGACTTCCCTCTCCCCAGCCACTTGGGCCAGCTCCTGCGGGGGAATCCCTGACCAGCTGAGAGACATAGTCCCTCCAGCGTGTCCTGGGTCTTCTTTAGGTCTCCACCTGGTAGGTAGTGCCAGAAAACCTCACCAGGGAGGCGTCCAGGAGGCATCCTAACTAGATGCCCGAGCCACCTTAACTGGCTCCTCTCGATGTGGAGGAGCAGCGGATCTTCTTCGAGCCCCTCCCGGATGACCGAGCTTCTCACCCTATCTCTAAGGATCTTGGTCCTGCTTTAAAAGATAAAAAGCATCACAAAACCCGTACTGCAGTCTAATGAACTACAGAGCGCATCTCTCCCTTTGTGAGAAGTGGAAACATTTAGGGAATAAACTGAAAGCTGATGGGAAAGCGTTTGTCCGAGACACAGATCAGCTGGATCAGTCAACCTGAAATCAGGTCGGATAAAAGCTGGAACCTTCGTCTTCGTCTTCCTCCGCTTATCCGGGTCCGGGTCGCGGGGGCAGCATCCCAATTAGGGAGCTCCAGGCCGTCCTCTCCCCGGCCTTGTCCACCAGCTCCTCCGGCAGGACCCCAAGGCGTTCCCGGACCAGATTGGAGATGTAACCTCTCCAACGTGTCTGGGTCGACCCGGGGGCCTTCTGCCGGCAGGACATGCCCGAAACACCTCCCCGGGGAGGCGTCCAGGAGGCATCCTGACCAGATGCCCAAACCACCTCAACTGGCTCCTTTCGATCCGGAGGAGCAGCGGTTCTACTCCGAGTCCCTCCCGAATGTCCGAGCTCCTCACCCTATCTCTAAGGCTGAGCCCGGCCACCCTACGGAGGAGACTCATTTCAGCCGCTTGTATCCGCGATCTCGTTCTTTCGGTCGTTACCCAAAGCTCATGACCATAGGTGAGGATTGGGACGTAGATCGACCGGTAAATCGAGAGCCTGGCTTTCTGGCTCAGCTCCCTCTTCCCCACGACAGATCGGCTCAGCGTCCGCATCACTGCAGACGCCGAACCAATCCGCCTGTCGATCTCCCGATCCCTCCTACCCTCACTCGTGAACAAGACCCCGAGATACTTAAACTCCTCCACTTGAGGTAGGACCTCTCCCCCGACCCGGAGGTGGCAAGCCACCCTTTTCCGGTCGAGAACCAGCTGGAACCACATTTTTTAAAGCTCCGGTCTGATCCCACCTAAAATATCAGAGGGTGAAAAACTGCAGCAAGAAACTTTGAGTAAAACGACATCAAAGTGTTAAACCAGCTAATGTTGTTTTATCCTCCCAACGTGTGACGGCTGAAACCAAAAGCTGAACACGAATGCCTTAAATTCCCAGAATGTCTTCTTGCTTATTTGGAAACAGAGCTGGAGAATGTTTGTTTGTTTGTTTGTTTAGCAGGAGAGCTGCGAGTGGACGTGGACAGTGTCTCGCCGCACCACCCAGCATCCACAGACAGCAGCTCATCCTCCGGCTACTCCAGCTCCTCCTGCTCGCCCCGGACCTTGCTCTGCTGCGACAACGCCTTCGACAGGAACAGAGACGTTCTCAGATGTGAGTTAAAGGTTTTCCGGTTCCTTCAGCTTTTAGGAAGTTTTCTGACTTGCTGGGTTCCTTATCAGGTTTGTCCGCTCCAGGCGCAGCTGCAGGTGCTACGGAGAAGAGCCGACCCTGCCTGTTCATCCTGAACTCCAGCTGTCCCACTGGTTCCGGTCGTCCCACGGCCCAAGTCCTCCCAGTCCAGACCGACCCAGCTCCTCCTCTCCCTCCTTCCGGCTCCTCCCACCCCCCCTTTGCTCTTCCCTTCCACCCGCAGCCCGGTTATCCCCAGTCCATCTCAAACCCGGCACGTATCGTCTCCGCCCCACGGAAGCCCAGGCCCCCCCCGCTGTGCACAGAGGACAGGACTAAGCCGCTGGGTGCCATTCCGGTTGGAGGAGGTTTTGGTTCGGGTCCTGGGGTGGGGGTAGGGGTGGCAGCGAGGCTGGAGAACCAGTTCACCGGTCAGAATGTAGACGGCTCCTCCGGACCGCAGGAATCCACCTGTCGAGTCCAAGCAGGAGGTCTGATGGTGGAGACGAGTTCTGCTCTGACCTCCACCTCCAACAGCCTCCACCACGTCTCCCAGCCTCCTCTCCTCTTCCACCTCTCCTCCTCTCCATCAGGATACTGCTCCTACCCTCCTCCTTTCTCCCCTTCCTGCACAGTTTCAAAGCCCGGAAGCTCTGGCGGTGCCAGTGGGTACGTTCCCATGGCAACCGCCAACACTGTCCCTATGGCAGCCGTCCCTGGTAACGCCTACTACCAGCCCACCTCCTGCCCCGCCCCTTCCGTGCCCTCTGCCTCCCCATTGGATCAGAGCTCTGCTCACAGCCCTTCCACATGTGTTTGCAGTTCCTGTGGTTGCCATGGGAACTGTGGCGCCTACGGGGCGTTGCCTGGGTATGCAGCTGCCGGCTATCTGCAGCCGTTTTCAGTCGGGCCGTCCATCTTCACCCTCGGTCCTCTGCTCCACCTCAGCCCATTCTTAACTCCGTCCAGTGTCGGTGGCCCCGGGGCCCCGCCCTTCTCCTATCCCACGATGGCGCCGCCCCCCCTCTACCGCCAGAGCCCCACATCACATGACCAGCAGCAGAGCTTTGGCTTTTACCAGCCACACAGCCTCATGGGAAACGGAGGCCAGAAGCGAGGCGCGGCGTCGTGTTGCAACTGCGGCGCTGCCGGACATCAAGCCGAGGACTGCAAGCAGCCGCCGATGGATTCAACGCGGCAGGGTGAGTCGCGGTTTTAGATTTTATTTATTTATTTAGCAATATTAGCACCAATGCTATGCTTAATTAATATTTTACATTTACACTCATATTTATTATATATTTGTGGGTTCACACCTTTTATTTTTATGAGTGACTTGATTTCTCTGCTGCCCTTTCAGGAACGTTTCGACTGAAGTTCGCCTCTCACTCCCAGACTAAAGACTCAGGGGATTAACGAGCAGGGATGCTCCTCGTGTTCCTGCTCGAGCCAGCGGGGACGTGAGGAGGACGCGGGGAACTTCAGATTCCCTCACACACAAACTCTAAAGAAAGCAGGAAATGTGTTTTCACCAACAGCGTAGCTCGACGGAAGCTTCTCTGCTGGTTTTACGTTCTTCTGGGTGGATCATGAAATGGGACATCATCCATCCATTCAGGCTTGGATCAGAACAGGTTTTCCAAAGGAACTTCTCCCGTCTAACGGGCGTTTCAGGTTTAACTCCCCTTCTCTGGGCGAGACGAACACCACCTCTCTCCTCTCGTTGTCTCCATGCTGTCTGAAGGACCTCTGAATGGCTAACCAGCTCCTGGTTTCATCTCCACCCGACTGCTGACAGGTCCTGGTTTCTGGGCAGGACCCGGGACAGCTGGTCCGTCATGCGAGACTCTGATCTGTACCCCTGGGGGGCACGGCGCCGGCATGAGGGATGTTCTATTTAAAACGAGTAACGTCAAGTGCGTCTGAAATAAATCAGCTGGTGTTGTTGGACGTCTGGAGAAAAAATTACTATAATTAAATTTTTTGGCAGATTCCATTAAAACTGCTTCTTTGCAGAAGCGTGTTCTTTTATTGGATCTGTGCAGGTAGCGGGCCGGCGTGCATGTCGCTGTGCCGTAGAAAAAGTCGACTTTCTTACTTTTAAAATATTTGAGCAAATGACTGAATGTTCTTTTACAACTTGAATATTTTTCTGATGGTTCTGAAAAATAAAATCATCCAGTGACATTGACCTCTTGACCTTTGTTTTTAATACAAATGACTTAAAATTTAGACATACCTAGGTCTTGTTTCAGTTGATTGGTGAAGGGTCTGTGTTGCTATAGCACTTTCTAGGATTCTACAACCCCCCAAGGTGCTTTATAACACTTCAAAATACTTTTGAAAGTTAATCTCACACAAACCCACAACTTTATGCTTCATTACATCCCAGTTAAACAGATTCTGCATTTTCACCTTCAGATTTATCTGATCACTTAAACAGTTTCTACATGAAACTTGAATTTAAAGAAACTCAATTATTAAATAAAATAAATGATGTTTAAGTAAAAAGGTCCTGACTATTTCAATTAGTCTAGCTCTAAATATCAGAATAACCATAATTTGAGGATGGCCTATATTCGATATAGCGCCTTCTAGAGTCCTGGAACCCCCCAAGGCGCTTTACAACACAGCCATTCACACACTGGTGGTGAGCTACGATGTAGCTACAGCTGCCCTGGGGCGCACTGACAGAGGCGAGGCTGCCGAGCACTGGTCTCGGATTAATCCGTTATGAAAACAGTATTTTACTGAACTATTTTCTAAAATCTGAACGTTAAATTAATGAAATCAGAGCACTCAGCACATGGACGTTTAGCTACTTAAGACATTGTGTTAAAAAGATGCTAATCGCGTGTTTGCATAAGAATGGGACATAAAGACAGTTAACTTATATATTTGGTATACAAACAAATAATTCAGCTTTTGCCAAAGCCACAGATGTCTGAAATCAGGAAAGATGATTAATTCTGCAGCATTTTTTTAAATAACATTTTACTTTAGTATATTTTAAGAATTTTTACCACAAAATGTAACATTTAGTAAAATAAGGATTAAAAGCAATGAAGTCATTTTTGTCATTTCTATTTATTGTTTACAAAATACCAACATAAATACATAAAGTAGGCTGTGTGTGTGTGTGTGCGTGTAAAAGCATTGGCATCACATTTCCAAACTGCAGACATTAAAGACGTAAAATCACATGAAATAAAAGAACCGAAACGATAATACCTTAATATAAAGCAGCTAAACTTCAATGTGTTATGATGGCGGTGATGAAGAGGAGGAGCACAACAGCACAGGAAGTGGTGGTGGTGGTGAAGATCTGCTTTCAGACGGGCAGCAGCCCTTAAAAAGCCACAGAGCAGTCACACGACCCCCCGAACCCGGACAGATCCGCTCGGTCCGCTGGGGAGAACTCGGGAACGATGCGAGGAAGAGGACGCGACACCAGACCCAGCTCCCACTGGGTTTCACTCACCACGGTGTTTTAAGTCACCGTCGTCTGACCGCCAAGGCATCGCTTCATAAAGACTTCTATAGATTTTCTGTAAACTACAATCTTGTGTTCTGAGAGCAAAGCGACTTTCAGACATCCGTTACAGGGAAGATGCTTCAGGCTTGGAGGCAGGAAGGAAAAATTAAAAATGCCGGAGCAGGACCGGGAAGGGAATGGTGAGACGCAGCAGATGTTAAAAATCTACTCCAATAAAAATCTCTAATAAAAACAGAACCTGGATCCGGACCCTCTACTCTCTAGTCTCCGATGATCTGATGGATGAGCAGGAGGGGCCGGAAACGTATTTACACGGGAGGAACAACACTGAAGTAACAGCCGCCAACCGGAGAGGACAACACCGAGTCGCTGACGGCGTTCTCTAAAATCGGAGGTTCTGGGAGTTTTACAGTTGAGCTAAACCACGATTAAAAGCTCGAGCCTTTTTGGACCTGCACTACCAGACTAAAGAGGTACATGATGGGAACTGTGGGAGGGGAAGACTAGAAACTACAGGTGTCCAATCGCCGGGCCAGATGGAAGAGAGCTGGAAGACCGTTCACGGGGCAGCGCCGAACGTCTCCTGGGAAGCGTAGACCATGTAGAGGAAACCGTCCTGGTCCCGCTCGCGCTCGTACACCTCAGAGATGGCCGCCGACACGGACACCATGCTGTGTCCATTAACCAGCAGGAAGAAGGCCTGGTTGGAGTTCAGCTGGAGGCGCCTCCTGGTGGACGAGGAGAGAAACAGCTGACGGCTCCTTCCATTTCTGAGGAAATAACCCAGCACCAACTTTTCTACAGCTCTGACCGGCCGATACCGAACAGTCAAATGATGATTTAGTTAAAGCAGCTCTAGAAAACTTCACATTTTCTTCTTTTAAAAGTTACATTTGTGCAGTTATGATCATTAATTCACAAACTTCAGTCTTTTTTAGAGAAAACACCCAAGTGAAGCTAAACATCAGCTGTAGTGGAGGAGGAGGAGGAGAAGGAGGAAGAGGAGTACCTGATGATCTTAATGAGTTCACTCATGTTTACGTGATCCGGCACCAGGAACTTCGTCTTATCCAGGATGGGAAGCTGCTTTTCTCCTTTATATCTCTCAATGATCACCTAAAGGATAACAACAACATTAATAATTATCAAGCTTTGTTGCCACTCAGCTCCATGAACGCTTCACCCGCTGAGCCGTTTTTGAGCCTGAAGCCCCGTCTAGGGATGCAACGATACCACTTTTTTCCTAACCGATACGATACCGATACTTGGATCAGCGTACTCTCCGATACCGATTACTTTTTTTTTTTTTTTACCGTGTCCTGTCTGGCTGTGAAGCAAGCAGAATTGATGTCTGAATGCTGGTGACAAGCCTTACAGATTTATTCTCAGGTGGAGCATCAAAGCGTTTGCTTTTAATGTCACGCCTGATACTTAAAACTTTGTTATTGTTGCTGAATGCTTTGTAATTCCGACCAGACACGGAGACAGAGGTGAAAGAGAAAGGAAAAGAAAAGGTGGGGGGGGGGACAAAAATAAACAATGAACAAGAGTCTGCTTCTAGACCTGCAGAAAAAGACAAAAAAAAGCAAAAGGACACAAAAAAAAGGGACACAACCACAATACAACAAGATCTAGCTATCACTGCGTCAACTTGATGAAAAAAAAATATATATATAATCAACATTGCTTAACTGAAGAATCACGATAATTAATCACAGTGCATTAAGTGCCCACCATAGTCTTAAGACCTGTGTTTAACGTGCCCAAGCCCATACTTTTGAGAGCACCATGTGAGCACCTGTGTGTGTACACGCGCTTGTTTATGTAAGGTTTCTCTATAGGAGCGTCCAATAGAGAGTGTGAGGGACCACAGATCCGCCCCCCAAAGATGCGCAGGAGACGGAGGGAGCTCCAAGTCCCAGAGATCCAGGCGCTGCCCCAGAACACAGGAACCCCAAGGAGACTGCAACCAGGAAGGCCCCCGCCCCCCTCGAGAGGCACAGAGGATCGCCCCAGGGGGCCACAACCAGCAGCCGGCAGAGTCCCCGGAGATATCAGCGGCAAGCCCACAGGCCCGCCCGCCCGCAGCCTCCCACCCCCTAGCCGGCCGAGCCCGGGACCCAGGGGCGACCACCCCCGCCGGGGACCCAGCAGAGCCCAGGGACCCAGACCCCACCAGGCAGCCACCGGGATTGATCAGGCAGATGCCAAAATCTTAAACCCCCAGACCCGGTTGCCACGAACACTCAGGCAGACCATGGCACAAGCCCCCACACCAGGTGTGGCAGGGGGAGGGGGGACAAAGATCTATATCATCAAGAGAAGTTCCAGGAGAAGGGAGGAGTCAAAGGCCCCACCTGACATATACAGTCATACACAAACACAGTCACACACTCCCTCCCTCATGCTCACACACACACATACAACCCAAGACTTACAAAGATGCACGCCGGACACCCACTCATGCTCCCCATACACACCCTATTCACTCTGGTCCCGGTACTGCTGCACATGGGGTACAACCATCACCGGTTACCAGAGTTCGACCCTTTCTGCTGGGGTGCTGATGAGCAGGCTCCCCCGCCCAACGCTGAGCACAGCAACCCACCACCCCAGACCCCAACCAGATGGCCAGATCTCCCTCCTAGCCTCCAGCCCCAGGAGGCCCAGTGACAACAGAGGTGGCTAAGACCCCTAGTCTCCCTCCGCCTGCTCCAATATAGTGTTGTGTGATCATGAGGTGTATTCCATGGCTGTGGTGAGTGGGCAGTGCGGGCATCATCTGACCTATGCCAGCTGATGCCACCGCACCACCCCACTTACACCCTCAGCCATCAGTGTCTAAGTGCAGTTTAACGCTTCACCCGCTGAGCCGTTTTTGAGCCTGAAGCCCCGTCTAGGGATGCAACAATACCACTTTTTTCCTAACCGATACGATACCGATACTTGGATCTGAGTACTCGCCGATGCCGATTACTGATACCGATTCTTCTACTACACAAAAAAATGCAATGATTTGGAATACAGATTTTATTTTCTTCTCTGCTTTCAACAGGAAAAGACTGTGAGGTAGATAAAAAAGTGAAATATATGAATGGAAATCATCACAAAACTAAAATATTAGGTGAACAGAAATGACAAGTTACAGTGAAGCCATTTTCAAGCAACTGCATTGGTATCGGTCAACTTTTACCGATACAGATACCAGTATCGTATCGGTATCTGCACCAATACCGATACCAGTATCGGTGCATCCCTAGCCCCGACATGTAAAACTGATCTGAGAACAGCGTCTACGATCCACAGAATCAGATTTTCTGCTCTACATTTTGAAAAAGTCTTTTTTTTTTTCTCAGAAGGGCGGGAGGCTGAGAGGACCGGCGACAGGATCAGCCGACATCAGAGGAAGCTGTTTTATTCTTTAAAGGAAGTGGCTTAAACGCTGCAAGACAAAATAAATGACTAAGGTCATCCGAGCAAAGATGTCAGTCAGGAATGTGGAACACGTCGACAAAGGAATAAAAACCTGAAGACCGCTCAAGTTTAAAGATGATCTGAACTTTTCCAGTAAAAATGACTAAATGAGTCCCAGAAATCTTGTGATTTGCTCAGGTGAGACTTTAATAACCCAACATCACCTTAAACCTTTGGGGTGGAACTCTTGCTTTCGGCATTTTTAGTCATTTTTCTGAGCACTGACCTCTGACCTCAGGGTGAACATCTTGTGACATCCACTCCTGGGAAAAAAAGAAAGAAAACGATCGTTTCTATAGCGCCTCTCAAGATAAAAATCACGGGGCGCTTCACAAAAACTTCTAAATATAAAAGATTTTTTTTTAAATTATTAAAAGATGAGGAAGATGCCAGATTCTTTAGTACTTTGGGGCCATTTTTAAAGTCTAGGTACCTTTTGTGAAACTAAAGAAACTATTTAAAATTTTATTTTCTGTCTCCAAACAGGATTTAAAGGACAGGGTATCTGCAGGTTTAAGGGAGCCAAATTTAAGACTTTTTAAGACCTTTTTTAAGGCCACTTTGACCAAATTTAAGCTATTTAAGCAAGGCAGCAGTAGCTCAACAGGTTGAGCGGGTAGTCCAGTAATCGGAAGGTTGCAGGTTTGATCCCGGCTCCGGACATTCTGCTGTTGTGTCCTTGGGCATGACACTTAACCCACCTTGCCTGCTGGTGGTGGTCGGAGGTACCGGTGGCGCCTCTGTCAGTGCACCCCAGGGCAGCTGTGGCTACATCGTAGCTCATCACCATCAGTGTGTGAATCCGTGTGTGTGAATGGATGAATGATACACTGTAGTGTAAAGCGCTTTGGAGTCCTTACTCTGACAGGCGCTATACAAATGCGGGTCATTTATTTTTTTAAATTAAATTTAAGCTATAATTTCCAGCTATTGCCTGGAACCGGTGTTAACCATGCCGCGATCGTGGGATTAGCCATCCAGTTACCATTAAACTTGCACTTCCCCATGGCGCAAGCTCCCACTAGCTTAACCAGCTAACGTGCTCATCTAAAAGTAGCCCCCTTTCACAACCAACTGAATGTGTACGGTTCCGCGTACGGCAACATCGTACACAAAAATGCTGAACACCAACTAGAAATTCACAAAAATTTTATAGAAATAAAAGAATCTTGTTTATTGGGTCTTTGGTCATTTAAAACCTCTGGAAACTGTATTTAAGGACTATTTGTAATTTTTAAGGATTTTTAAGGCCTTAAATTTGGAAAAGCTAAGACTTTTTAAGGGCCCGCAGATACCCTGAAGGAACTCTTTGCAGTTTGGGCTTGCTTTTAGCGCCCCCTAGAGTCCACTTTCATCCACTGTCGTAAAACCGAAAGTGAAACACTCCTCCTCGCAGAGCGTTCGGCTTTTAAAAACACCTTAAAGGAGTAGAACACTTGTTTAATCAACACATTTGCAGTGGACTCTATAGTAGGACGCCCTGTAAGTTGTTCTCAGGTGGATAAAAATACACCAGTGCATCATTTGTTGGAACTAAAGTTGCCCACATCACAGCGGAGTTGCAGACGGCAGGTTTTGGAGTTGACATGTGGACATCTCGCCCCGGGTTGGCTAACTGCAATGCGACTCAACCACTGACTTGCAACATGGATGTTTTACCTCCACAAATAACACAAGTGTGAAGGAGTTCTGCTGTGTGGCGGTGTTGCTAATGCTAACGTTAGCTTCTACTAGCTGGCACTGCCTCTGCTGATTCCTAGACATAAAAAAAAAACAACAGCCTTCCTATTCATGAGCCAAGATGGATGAGAAGTGACAGTGTGACGTAGATCTGTCAGGTTTCCTAATCCTAGAGTTTCACCGTCTATTTTCCATCAGAAGCTAATGCAGGAGATAGGTGTAGGTAGGGTTGTCACGGTAACCGGTATAGCGGTAAACCCCGGTAAAAAAGTTGACAATAAAAATAACCGTCCAGTTTTTAAAAAAACTATATTATCTCGGTGGGTTTACCGTGGCCGCGGTTTCGGCGCGATGACCCTTACCAGCCACCGTCGCTTCAGCTGAAGTTCCCGCGGCGTGCACTTTTTAGTTTGCAACGGCACCAAAACTTTGAAGCTGAAATAATGGCCGAAGGAGGAGACGGCAGCGCCCAGGACATCCATCAGCCGTCAAAGAAGACTAAATCGGAAGTATGGGCATATTTTGGATTTCTGAAAAACGCTGAGGGACAGTTAATAGAAGACTGCTATCCTGTTTGCAGAACGTGCAGGAAACAAGTGTCTGCAGAAGGCAGCAACACTTCAAATCTAATGGCACATCTGTGTGACCATCACCCACGTCTCTACAGCCAGTGCAAGGTAAGTTAACATTAGCATTTTAGCTTAAATGCATGACGTGAGGACTTTTGGTTGAGGGAGAATGCAACGAGTCACTATATACTGCAGCCGTAGCGCCCTCTGCCAGCATTTAAACCGTGTCACGGACACCCTGTTGCTGGATGAAGCATCGTATTTGTTGATGATGAAGAGAAATATACAATTAGTTCCTTGTCATTGATTTGTTTACTTATTCAATGCCATTTATACTTGAACATTTGGATTTGATTACATAGTGTAGTAGTTATTTTAGTAATTTGTTTAAAGTGGCTATTTATTTTAAATACATATTTTTTAAGGTTGACTTGTACAGTGCTCAAGTCAAGTGTGGACTGGAGTTTTAGATTTTCATTTTGATAATGAAGAAAACAAGTATATGAGAAAACAAGTGGTGTTTCTTTGATTTGTTTACATATTGTTTATGTTTTGAATGTTTGGATTTGTATAATTTAAACCTGCACTGACTACTGTAACATGTTCCAGAAAAAGAAGCTATTTGTTCCTTTACTTGTGAAAAGTTGCACTTTTGCTAAGGCTTTGTGTTATTTTAGGTTTAATAAACACTGTTAAACCTTTTCAGAACTATTTCAGTTTGTGTAGAACAGGACTATCAATGCTTTCTGAACATATGCAACACCGTTTAAAAAATACCGCGATAATACCGAAAACCGTGATAATTTTGGTCACAATAACCGTGAGGTTACATTTTCATACCGTGACAACCCTAGGTGTAGGAGACTATCATCAAGTTCAGCCTGCATGAAACACAGTGAGCAATTATAACCAGAATAAAATTTATAAATGGGGTTTCTGTGTTCCACACCTTTAATCTAACTGAAGAAATGTCTCCTCAGCCTTCATTAGTTTCTGCAGGAGCAACATATCAGCTGTGTTCACGATCTAAAACCTCCTGGAAACTCCAGCTGTAGTATGTTGGCTTGCCACTTAAATGTAATGGGAGGAATCATGTGACCACGGGGAAAGCGTGTAGCGTGTCGGCCATCCCAAACGCAGAACGCTGGGTGATTACACACAGGCTCTTCGTCCTCCATTCATTCTTTTAGCTTCATCAGATAAATGTTTTCTTAAGTTTCTTCTGAGGCTCCGCCATGATAAAAACGTTACATTAAACGCTAAGCAGCTATAGCTCGTCCGTTCAGAGGTGCAAACATGGATTGCCGTAAAGCGTGACTTTGTGAGATTTCCACGGAGCGGTCCGGAGAGGCTCAGTGTGCTTTTCAGGCCACAGAGGGTGGAGTGACTTTTCATTAACCCTGGAAAGGTTCATTTAGCACATACTGGCTCAGAAAAACATGGAATATGAAAAAGTTACTTGGTCTCCATTTAAACATCCTTACAAAGACAAACGGGGAACAACTTCTGAGGCAAAACATGTCAAACTAGGAAAGAACTTTAGGTGCAAACCAAATAAGGGATGTTTATAGGGTTGTCACGGTATGAAAATTTAATCTCACGGTTATTGTGACCAAAATTATCACGGTTTTCGGTATTATCGCGGTATTTTTTAAACGGTGTTGCATATGTTCAGAAAGCATTGATAGTCCTGTTCTACACAAACTGAAATAGTTCTGAAAAGGTTTAACAGTGTTTATTAAACCTAAAATAACACAAAGCCTTAGCAAAAGTGCAACTTTTCACAAGTAAAGGAACAAATAGCTTATTTTTCTGGAACATGTTACAGTAGTCAGTGCAGGTTTAAATTATACAAATCCAAACATTCAAAACATAAACAATATGTAAACAAATCAAAGAAACACCACTTGTTTTCTCATATACTTGTTTTCTTCATTATCAAAATGAAAATCTAAAACTCCAGTCCACACTTGACTTGAGCGCTGTACAAGTCAACCTTAAAAAATATGTATTTAAAATAAATAGCCACTTTAAACAAATTACTAAAATAACTACTACACTATGTAATCAAATCCAAATGTTCAAGTATAAATGGCATTGAATAAGTAAACAAATCAATGACAAGGAACTAATTGTATATTTCTCTTCATCATCAACAAATACGATGCTTCATCCAGCAACAGGGTGTCCGTGACACGGTTTAAATGCTGGCAGAGGACGCTGCGGCTGCAGTATATAGTGACTCGTTGTATTCTCCCTCAATCAAAAGTCCTCACGTCATGCATTTCAGCTAAAATGCTAATGTTAACTTACCTTGCACTGGCTGTAGAGACGTGGGTGATGGTCACGCAGATGTGCCATTAGATTCGAAGTGTTACCTTTTGCAGACACTTGTTTCCTGCACGTTCTGCAAACGGGATAGCAGTCTTCTATTAACTGTCCCTCAGCATTTTTCAGAAATCCCAAATATGCCCATACTTCCGATTTAGTCTTCTTTGACGGCTGATGGATGTCCTGGGCGCTGCCGTCTCCTCCTTCGGCCATTATTTCAGCTTCAAAGTTTTGGTGCCGTTGCAAACTAAAAAGTGCACGCCGCGGGAACTTCAGCTGAAGCGACGGTGGCTGGTAAGGGTCATCGCGCCGAAACCGCGGCCACGGTAAACCCACCGAGATAATAGTTTTTTAAAAACTGGACGGTTATTTTTATTGTCAACTTTTTTACCGGGGTTTACCGCTATACCGGTTACCGTGACAACCCTAGATGTTTATTTGTCATCAATAATCTTGCTCTGAGACCATGGTTCTCAACCGGAAAAGGGTGGCTTGCCAACTCCGGGTCGGGGGAGAGGTCCTACCTCAAGTGGAGGAGTTTAAGTATCTCGGGGTCTTGTTCACGAGTGAGGGTAGGAGGGATCGGGAGATCGACAGGCGGATTGGTTCGGCGTCTGCAGTGATGCGGACGCTGAGCCGATCTGTCGTGGTGAAGAGGGAGCTGAGCCAGAATGCCAGGCTCTCGATTTACCGGTCGATCTACGTCCCAATCCTCGCCTATGGTCATGAGCTTTGGGTAATGACCGAAAGAACGAGATCGCGGATACAAGCGGCCTGAATGAGTTTCCTCCGTAGGGTGGCCGGGCTCAGCCTTAGAGATAGGGAGAGGAGCTCGGACATTTGGGAGGGACTCGGAGTAGAACCGCTGCTCCTCCGGATCGAACGGAGTCAGTTGAGGTGGTTTGGGCATCTGGTCAGGATGCCTCCTGGACGCCTCCCTGGGGAGGTGTTTCGGGCATGTCCTGCCGGCAGGAGGCCCCTGGGTCGACCCAGGACACGTTGGAGAGGTTACATCTCCAATCTGGTCCGGGAACGCCTTGGGGTCCTGCCGGAGGAGCTGGTGGAGGTGGCCGGGGAGAGGACGGTCTGGAGCTCCCTAGTTGGGATGCTGCCCCCACGACCTGGACCCGGATAAGCGAAGGAAGACAACGACGAATCTGCTCTGTCAGTTTCACCATAAAAGTTGGTGCTGATGGGAGGAACCTCCGTCCTCTAGAACAGCGGAAAGGGCTCTGAACCACATTTCAGTTTAATGTGAACCCTGGTGGGCTCTACAGCGGTCTGAGACACAATATCAGATGATGATAGGAAGCTTTTAGATGACCGCGGTGCTCATCAGAGGCTGAGAGCTGCAGCCGTGTGGGAGGAAGTTTGGAACGGGAACAACACCAGAACCGACCTGGACAGCGCTGCCAAATTCCAAACCTCATCTCCAACATATTCCTAAACTTATCAAACATTAACATGTGAATCCTCCTCCAAATGTCACCTGATCAGCCAGTCCGACATTTTAAACAACATCCCCTTGTCCCGCTGAGGAACCCTGAGGAACTCCTGGACTTTAACCAGTTGATTTCAGACAAAAGTGGCTCCAAATGTCAGCAGAGCTCAGAAGCAAAAGCAAGGAAAGCTTTTAAAACCTCAGATTTAAGGAATTCTAATGGTAAACTGATCAAATCGACTATAATGACCAATCTCGGCAGCCATCTTTACTTAGCATTAATTCTGTAAATCAACCGTTTGACCATAACTTTTCTATGACTGTTTCTTTCTGCAGATACAAAACACAAAAAAGAAGTCTGAAATCCGTCGGTCAGGCCGCTGCTCCCCCACAGGAAGTGTCTGCATAGAGATGAGTTACAGTGACACAGCACATCTGCCTCTGGTCTCAGCCCTCACCATGACGCGGCGGTTTACAACCCCCAGAGAGAACACAGGAAGTGCTCAGCAGACAGGAGGGCCTGACCGGGCGGCAGATGGAGATCAGCCCCGACACTTTATCTGAAAATGATCAACCGAGCAGGTGAAACACGAGGTGCGCTTTGTTTAACGTTGGTTGCTAGGAGACAGCTAACCCATAAACAAATAAACTACAACACTCCCGAGCTGAATCATCCCTCCTTTCTGTTTTCCACTCAGAGGGCTGAAATTTGCTTCAGGAATTCTGGAAAACTCTGGAAAATCCCACTTTAAAGAGATTAGGAGAAAATCTGGCAGCTTAGAAGCAAAACAGATTTTAAAAAAAAGGATGATTTAATTATCAAACTGTCTGGAAACAGCTGAAAACCCAGACTTTTCTAAATAAATACTCATTACTCACAGGAATCTTGTTAGGATGCTGCTCTCGGATCAGCCTCACATCTTCTACTCGCTGCTCTGTGGGACGACAGAGAGAGACGGGATGAAACCAACAAGGAAGAGCTGAGGGGAAAATCTGTTTTATTTGCATTAAGTCCCGGCATGTCCACAGATTTGGTTAACAAATGTAGACTCCGTGTGGTTCTACAGGTTTGGGTGGTCCACGGCTACAACCTGTTCAGTTTTCCTAAAACCCACTCCGGCTTTAACAACGCTTTCCTAGTGATTCATGGATCGGTGGTCAGAAATTAGGATCCACTTGTCCTGCTGAAAAGTGTTTTCCGTCACTCCAAAAACCACGATGCAGTACTTCATGATAGTTTTTGTTGTCGGCCCAGGCCGCATCTGAAGCTTAAAGAGCAAGTCACCCCCAAATCCACTTTTTTTCTGATAAACTATATAAATGTGTGTCTAATCGTGCTGCAGACACGTGTGTCAATAGTTTTACATTTTAGTGCATTTTAGTTAAAATTTAATTTTCTGCCTAAAACTGTCAGTGTTGTGCCGTTGTCAGGTAAAAACTCTGCACTGCATTTGAATTTAAATCTGCTATTGGCTAAGACCTGTAGGGCTGTAGCGAAGCCTCGACGAAGTCGACGGCTCGATTCTAAAAATTTGTCGACATCAGATCCGGAAGTCGACGCACCGCGCCCACTTGTTGCATCCCCAGGAGTTTGTAAATAGAGGAGGAATCTGCCTGTTTTTCCTCTAGTTCGCCCTCCTCCGCCTTCACTAACATCTCCGCCAAATACCGAAGACCCGGAACAACGTCCGTCCACTACTAGATTATTTTCCTGTTTTGCCCCTTCGTCTCCCGGCAACGGACAACAACTTCCGGGGTCAGATGCGCTGCTTCGTGCCTACCGCAGATGTAGAAAATCACCGGGAGCGCTTCTCCCTTCATTAAGGAGCTTCTTTCAGACATGAGGAGAGCTGTTTTGGTGGTAGCAGTCTCTCCTCCGTGCTGGTCTGTTTGCTGCCGGGTGTTTTTGGTTTATTTAAACTTGGTAACTTGAACTTAATGTTGGTAAAGCTACGGTTAGCATCTTCGCTAACAGCTTCTTGCGTTGGGATAAGCTGTTACGTTTTGGTTTAGAGTTCATCTTTTTTGCGGTGTAGATCTCCCTTTCATTACATTTAGAGTGTTGTGGGTTTTCGGTTTAGTGTAAAATATCACCTGAGTTTGGTTTAACCCGTAACACCACTCGCCTCACGCACATAAGTGACCAAAACAAAGCAGCATGGAGACACTCCATCTTCTACCACCTCTCAGGCAGCAGCCTGCACTCCCAAGTTCTACACGTCACCAGAACATAACCAACCAACACAATAAAAGCAGTGTTATACAAAATGGAAGGCCTGTAGTGTTTATTCTCTTACAGTAAGAATTTATCAATTTTTTTGAGGAATTTATTTGAGATTTTCTGGTTTTTGTTAATTGTGCAATAGAAAAATAATCATTAGATTAATTTTCTAAATAGTCATTAGAATAGTCGACTATTCGATAAAATAATCGTCAGAATAATCGTTTTAAAAATAATCGTTTACCCCCAGCCCTAATTACCTGGTACCATATGATGTCACAATGTTATTGTGAGCCTGTGTGTGTGTGTGTTTGTTAGCGGCTCTGCCCTCTCGGTCTGCTAGGCAACAGCATTTGTTGCATTTTTCAAACAGGAAGTGGGAGTGGAGTAACACTCTGGTAGGGGGTGACTTGCTCTTTAAATTGGTTTCTTAAACTGCTTAAGATTCCGGTAAACTTTTTTTTCCAACTGACCGTTCACAAACAGTTCGGATCCAAATAAACACACCCGCTGAACTTTGAATGTTCTCTGAGACTAGACAGAACCAACCTGGGACTCGGAGTGTCAGCCCGTTTCAGTTATGCTCAAAATGGCGTCGAACAAACCTAAAATTAAAGGAACAGAAATTCCTTTAATGGAAACTGAAGCCAAGCGATCACTCAGCCGTCAGCTGAAGCTCTGACTTACCGCGGCTCTGCCACAAAGCTAAATGTTTACTCAGGAGTGTCCCGACTGTCAAGAATGTCTAATTCTATCAGCTGATCACAAGCTGCTGCCAGATGTTTGTTTTTTCTGGCGGAAAGATGATGAAATGTCCCGTGATTCGCCCTGAATGTGTCAGTCTCTCCTGACCAGAAATACAAACCCAAACAGCGTCTGAGTCAAAGTTCAAAACAAAAAGAGGAAAATGAAACTCAGAACGGGAAGAATTGTCCCTGAAGAGTTTTTCTGTTATGTCCAAACCTGGGAATTCTTCAGAAACACCCTGAAGGGTTTTCAGGTCATTAAACGACAAACTGAACAAACTTTCTTCCTCAGGAGTCAAACCTGTAAACGTTCACACGTGAACTCAGAAATAAGAGTCAGCAGAACAGTTTAACATGCACAGGCCTGCCTTAACCTACAGTTTTACACCTGAGGTGGAAATGCACTCGGATCACATTTCTATCATGAGTCATCATAACTTTCTACATCTGAGTGTTCCTGCTGGTCTGGCTGCCCTCACATGCTGCTGTTGTGCCATCCTGGACCAGCTGAGCCATAAGTCGGTTATTCTTAGTCATTCCAGGAAAGTCGTTTACAGAGTTGCAGGCAACAGGTTCACATTTCTGTTTCCAATCACACAAACTTGTGTTTTCACTCATTTGCAAGAGCAGGGAGGAAAACATGTTTAACACACAGGTAAACACATCTGTAGATGTTTTCCTGAAGTGGTGTAATTCCCCTGGCTGTCTGCTCCACCTGTCATGTCACTAGACTTGTTTTATTTCCGTTCTGAAACAACGCTCGAGACACACCGATTCAGACGGCCGATACCAATTTAGATTTATCTCAAAAGATGCTATGTAATGAGATAATCAGATTAACGTTAAATTAAGATTCTGCGTAGAAATGCACAAAAATAAAATAAATATGTGTGTGTGTGTATAGACAATATGAAGCATCATCTACTGACTCTGTTATCTGGTGAGAAAAAAACAAGCCAGTTTGGTTTTTAATAAATACTTAGTGCTAATTTGCACCACTATGACAAATCTTTCACGTGGACATTTTACTCCAGTAATGCTAATTTGTAAATTAGACTTGTGAAAAAGATTGTAGTCTATTGAACACATTTGAGATACAATGGGAATTATCTAAAATGAGTAGTGGCAGGTCAAAACTGCATAAAAAATTGGTATCAGCTCAACAAACTTTATAAGTTTAAATGTAAATAAGTAAAATGTCTCACCTGGAAGTTAAAAAAAAGTTGAGTTTACAGAGGAAGGGGGGCCAACTCATTGGCACTTAAATAGATATACACATCCATCTGCCATTATATATATATATATGACATAACTAACCCTAACCCAAACATATTTAAAACAATGCATAAATTAACCAATCATCTGAAAAATCACAACAAACCGATGATATAGTTTCATTACATGAAATGTTGCCATATCTACAACCTAATTACCACAAATGGGTAAACAATGACTGCTGTGTTTCCAGAACAACGCAGGCCTCTCATCCAGCTCTAAACCAAACTTTAATCCCATCTGCATGACTGATGGGGCCTAATTACCCCACCAAACTAACTCAAACAGATATAAAGTCCACATGGTTTCATTTGGAGCTGGCTGAACTCCTCTTTTCTCCCCTGAAACTGTCCCATCCCCCAATCCTGCAGCTCTCCTCCCAGCTCAGCTGCATTTCGACACCTCTTTGTTTTTCTGCTGCTCTGATTCAAGGCAACGCCGAGGAGGAACCAGCCAGCTGCTCCTTTCCTTCTGACCAACATCTAAACCCGACAGGAGACGTTAGCGACAGTCTGAGGAAACCAGGGCAGGCCTCGGCTCCTGGTTTTAACCACCTGACAGAAGTAGCTCGGCTAAAGTCAGCGATTTAAACCCCCAAACAGCGACGTGACACGTTCAAACACCCGCTGGGATTTACCACGGTTACACAACAACACAAACTAAACGAACAGATGAGTAAAAACGCGGTTTAAAGGGGATAGACCTACCGAACGTCCTTCTTTGTTTGAATGTTTTCTCTGATGGCATTTTGCGTCAGTCAGCAGCTAACGGCGCTAAAAACCGGAGTCGCGGCGACGTTAAAGCAGCTCAACGTAATTAAAACTGTTTTCTAACGTCTCCGGGGCCGCTGGTTCGGTAGCTGCTCGGTTAAAAAGTCACTAAAACGAAGAAGAGTTTGGTGGTTTTGACGTCGTCGCTTGCTTCCTGCCTTGCTCACTCCGTCGGTGTTTTTGATCAGGACGAGGCGAGCAAAACAAACCTGTCAGCTGACCTGGGACGTCACTGTCCAAACAGCCAATCAAATGCAGCTAAGTGAAACCATTTAAACATACCGGTAGTTTATCATAAATATTTCTATTCTGACGTTGAAAACTGTAGTTTATTATTTTTCACTTTTATATGATTCTGTTCACTTTTGTATTTTTGAATTTTACCACCTTATTTTTTCTTTATATGCTTATTTTTAAACGAATCAGCTCATCCCAGCTGGACCAGATAGCCTAAGTCCGCCCATCTACGTGGGTCCCGTACTGCCCCCAAAATGAACAGGAGTCTATGGGGGCAATGGTGGCGCAGGAGTTGAGTGCTCACGCGTAATCGGAAGGTTGCAGGTTCGAGCCCCGCTCAGTCTGTCGCTGTTGTTGTGTCCTTGGACAAGACACCTAGCCCACCTTGCCTGCTGGTGGTGGTCGAAGGGACCGGTGGCGCCAGTGCTCGGCAGCCTCGCCTCTGTCAGTGCGCCCCCAGGGCAGCTGTGGCTACATCGTAGCTCATCCCCACCAGTGTGTGAATGTGTGAATGACTGATTGTGTTGTAAAGTGCCTTAGGGGGTTCCAGGACACTAGAAGGTGCTATATCAAATACAGGCCATTTACCAAAAGTTATTTTCTGATCCATCCATCTGCTTATCCAGGGTCAGGTCACGGGGGCAGTATAAGCAGGCCCAGAATTCCCTCTCCCCGGTCACTTGGGCCAGCTCCTCTGGGGGAACCCTAAGGCGTTCCCTGGCAACCCGAGAGACATAGTCCCTTCAGCGTGTCCTGAGTCTTCCTTTGGGTCTTCTCCTAGTTGGATGTGCCCATAAAACCTCACCAGGGAGGCGTTCAGGAGACATCCTGTGCCAGAGCCACCTCAACAGGCTCCATGTGGAGAAGCAGCAGATCTACTCCGAGCCCCACCCGGAAAGGGGTAGACCCAGCCATCCTGCACAGAAAACACATTTCCACCTCTTGTATCCGCGATCCACATTCCAACCCTCATCTTTGATCCCTACCCAAAGCTTCTGACCAGCTGCGTTCTGCACACGGCCACAGCAACATTTTCTAAGTTTCTAAGTGGCGTCACCAAAAATATACAATTAACACACAGTCGTTCGTGTCCGTTCATTTTCTCTCAGGTAAGTTCTGTCTGTATTTGAGCATGACGTGTGGACGCGCTCGCGCTGCAGCGCTCGTCACTGGCGCAGCCGAGCGGCGCACGCTCTGCATTTTTTTGCGGTCAGTAGATCAATTTGATCTGCTAGTTAAAAAGTTACTTGTGGGGTGAAAAAGAAGGGAGCAGGCAGGAGTTTTTCTGGAGGACTGGGAGATGCAGGAAGGTCAGAGACAGACAGGACAGGAAGACAGGAAAATAAAAACCAAGAAAACAAAATAAAGTTCTTAAAAAGAAAATGTAGGTAGATTGATCCCACTACACGTTTGTACCCGTATAAAGCAATAATTTATCAGCATGTAGTTTTTATGTAGTTACTACAATTCAGATCATCTTCAAAACTCCGGCCCATGCCCAGGGGCGTACCCAAGCATTTTGGGGGCCGAGGCAAAGTAGACCCCTGCCAGGTATTTTAAGTTGAAGTGCTATCTGTTTTTATATTAGACTTTTTATATTTGCAATAAAGTCCAAAAGTGAATAATTTATGTTATTTATTACTTGATTGTTCAAGCTACCTCACAGAAGTGATCTGTTGTTAAAAATTGAAATAAAAAGATAATTAAATTAAAAAATAAGGAACATTCTGGAAATGTTTATTTCTTTTCTTTTTTTTTATGTATCGAAAGTATTGGATCGGGACTCGGTATCGGCAGATTCTCAAAATCAAATGACTCGGACTCGAGGGCAAAAAAAAACCTGATCGGGACATCCCTAGTTTTTACACAACACGTCGTACTTTTTATTGTGTTGTTATTGATGTTTGTTGTCCCTCGGGGTTGCTGCAGGAGGACAGGTATTTATGAGGAAAACGAAATACAGTAAATAAATGTTTTGTGGTCAGTATAATTTGACATAACCACGACAAACATGCTTTCTCGACAATCCTTGTTATTGTGTGAGAAAATAAAGTTTAGAAATGAAAACGGATGTGTGTTGATAGGGGAACAGCTGCAGAGCCATGTCTGCGCATGCACCGTGAGCGGTTCTGGTGCTGTTTGGGCCGCAGCCGCTCGCAGCGCTGCTTCAATAGTTATCCTCCTAGTTTTTGTCTGAAGTTTTGAAAAGTAATTTTGAATAAAACTTGAAGAATAACTGGAAATTGCTTGCTCATTTTAAGAAGTCTTTCATATTTTATAACATTTATTATTTGATATAATGGTTTACAAACACAAAAGGGTCATTTATTAGAGTACTCGATTACAAAAATGTTCGATAGCTGCAGCCCTAGTTGTAATGCTCGATTTCTGCTATTTCAGATTTTTTGTTCATGTATATTATTTACATTTTCTATTCAGAAACTTCTGAAGAAAAATCAAATGCTTTTTTATTACAGTTATGCTGTTTTGGTTTAAAATCCCAATATAAACGACACACCATCTTTAAAGGGACTTTACGGAGTTTGAATTTTTATGCTCGCGATCGCCCCCTCAGGCCAAAAGCGTAACGGCAGCTTCAATAGTAGGCTCGTGCATGAGGTGTGCATGCTGTACGTGCACACTCCTTAACGAAAATAACAGCTGAGACAGTCCCTTGTGTGTGTGTGTGTGTGTGTGTGTGTGTGTGTGTGTGTGTGTGTGTGTGTGTGTGTGTGTCCTGGAGGACAGAGGACAGGAGAACGAGCAGCTAATTAATTAAATAATTTGGTTCTGTACCTTTCTCTTCAGCACAGCCGACAAAGGTTTATGATGGGTCAGTCCTCCTGCATGCTCAGATCATTCCCTTCCCTTGCTTGAAAAATTGTTCCAAAATGAAAGTTGAACCCACATCTTTTTTATCTGTGAATTCAATGCCGTTCGGCGAGTCTCAAATAAAAATTTGGGCATCTTACTGTAAAAAAATACACAATTAATGTAAAAAAGAAACTCTAAATGAACTATGTTCACATCCAGAATCAAACCCAGGTCTTCTGCATGGGAGTCAGGCGTCTTACTAGGTGCAGCTAAAATCAGAATCAGAAGTTTTTATTGCCATATGTGTGCCAAGTCACATTAGGAAATTGCTGCGGTATTTTGGTGCAGAAGGTAAGATAGAAAAAAAATCAAGAGATAAGCAAATATAAGAACTAATAAAACACTCATGATAAAATTATTAATGTAAAAAGTGGCAAGAATTAGAGAAGCAGCTATCTACTCCGTGTAGGCATGGACGTAATTTTGGGGGGGGGGGGGGGGACAGGGGGGACATGTCCCCCCCACTTTTTCCAAAGTCAAGTTTTGACCCCTGCACTTTTTACCATCTAAAAACAGTATTACGCTATATTAAATTGACACTGGTTGAGCTCTAGGACCAAGTGGAAAACAACCGTTTGTGTTGAAGCCAGTTTCCCATTAGAACATACTGTAAAGATTACCCCCCTCCCCACCCCCTACCCCCATGCCCCCCCCCCCCCCCACACACACACACACACACACTTCTAAAGTGAAAATTACGTCCATGCGTGTAGGTATTAATCTGAGTGTTTGTTGAATGGTTCAAGCACAGCATCGGGTCACGTGACTGGGACCAATCAACTTGAGTGGGCTGCCCTAGGATTTTCATTCAAAAGTCCAACTGCAGAGGGGAAGAAACTGTTTTTGTGGCGAGAGGTTCTGGTCCGAATGGATCTGAGCCTTCTGCCAGATGGGAGCGAGTCGAAGAGACTGTGTCCAGGGTGAGACGAGTCAGCTATTATCCGACCTGCACGCCTCAATGTCCTAGAGGTGTACAGATCTTGAATGGAGGGGAGTTTGCAGCCAATGACCTTCTCTGCAGAGCGCACGACACGCTGCAGCCTCTCCTTGTCCCTGGTGGTAGCTCCAGCGGACCACACGGTGATGGAGGAGGTGAGGATGGACTCGATGATAGCGGTGTAGAACTGCCTCATTGACTGTGGTGATAGGTTGAATTTCTTCAACTGCCTCAGGAAGTTCATCCTCTGCTGGGCCTTTTTTCTGATGGTGGTGATGGTGGGCTCCCATTTGAGGTCCTGGGTGATGGTGGTGCCCAGGAAGCGACATGAGTCCACGATCGTGATGGGAATGTCAGACAGGTTTAAGGGGGGGATGGGGTGTGTGTGTTTCCTAAAGTCCACAACAACCTCCGCTGTCTTCTGGGTGTTTAGCACCAGGTTGTTGTGGCTGCACCAGGACACCAGCCGTTCAGCCTCCATTCTGTAAGCGGACTCATCCCCATCAGAGATGAGTCCGATGATGGTGGTGTCGTCAGCAAACTTAATTAGTTTGACAGACTCATGCTTGGAGGTGCAGCTGTTGGTGTACAGGGAGAAGAGCAGAGGGGAAAGAACACAGCCCTGTGGTGAGCCGGTGCTGATGGTCTGTTGGTCCGAGACATTCTTCCCCAGCCTGACTTGTTGTTTCCTGTCTGTCAGGAAGTCAGTGATCCACCTGCAGATGGGGTCAGGCACGTTCATCTGGGACATTTTGTCTTGGAGGAGGTCTGGCAGGATTGTGTTGAATGCAGAGCTGAAGTCCACGAACAATATCCTGGCGTAGGTACCTGGGGAGTCCAGATGCTGCAGGATGAATTGTAGAGCCATGTTGATTGCGTCGTCTACAGACCTGTTTGCTCTGTATGCAAACTGCAGGGGGTCCAGGAGGGGGGCTGTGAGGGTCTTGAGGTGGGGGAGAACTAGGTGATCAAATGCCACAGGTCTGTAGTCATTTAGTCCAGTGATTCTTGGTTTCTTGGGGACAGGGACTATGGTGGAGATCTTGAAGCAGGCAGGCACATGAGATGCCTCCAGTGAGGAGTTGAAGATGCTCGTAAACACTGGGGCCAGCTCTTCAGCACAGTGCAGGAGCCACGCCATCAGGGCCTGGAGCT